TGGATGCAACTTGAGACCATACTCATAAGCGAAATAAATCAAACTCACATGTATAAATACTGTACATTCTCCCTAGTATAAGAAATGTTAACAGTACATAAGAGTTTATGGTAATCATGATTCTCCATTACATTACTCTGAAGCCTTATAATGATTGCATTCATTAGTTGGAATGGTTTTATCCTGGGTTGTTTGATTCTATTATCTGTGATGGTATGAACAGCTATTTTGAAGAAAACAAGACATTATAATAGCCAGTGCTGATTTAATATCATCTTGCTCTGAAGTCCTTACCATGCTTTTGCTCTTCTGTTTCCTTTGGTTCTATCATGTTGTATCTTATTGGATTGTATTACGTGTGATAGTATAAACAAATTTTCTATGGAAATGAGATAATAGAGTAGCCATTGTTCGTTTCTGTTATTTGGTTCTTTTTTTTTTTTTTCTTTTTGTGGTACCGAGGACCAAACTCACGACCTCATGCTTGCCAGGCAGGTGCTTATGCCGCTGAGCTAAATCTCCAGCCCCTGTTATTTGGTTCTGAATGCCCTGTAATACTTTCATTCTCTTGAATGGTTTTATCCTATTTTGTTATGTTTGGTACTATTGTATATGAGGTTATGCTCAACTATTTCAAAGAAAGAGACATTATGGTAATTACTGTTAATTATGGGTTGTCTTCTGGTGAACTACTGTGTTGCTTACATTGTTCTGTTCTGATCTGCTTTGTTACGTCCTGTTTTGTCTTAATATCTTTAAAATAAAAAAATCTAAATTCCAACTGATTCCAAGAGCTAACAGAAGCTCAGCCTAAAGAAAAGAGACTCCCATACTCCACCCCGGAGACCTAACACTGGTAAAGTGTCTTACTTTGCCATCTCCTTCCGTAGAGCCAGCTTGGGAAGGACCATACACCACGACCCCGTCAACCCCACCAGCTGTCCAGTAGTCGGGCTGGACTCCTGGACACACCACACCTGACTCAAGACATGGGAACCAGTGACTGTCGTTGTGAGCAACCATCATTGGAACACGCCTGTGAACACATAGAGGACTTAAGATCCGTGTTCAAGAACAAAACAAGTCTCCAGATCAGCAATCTAAGATGTGATCTTAGCTCTTTTACTAATCCCTTTACCACTTAAGGGAGAATACAATTCCTCTCTAAGGTGGACACAAGGATATGCAGAATCATTACAACAAAAATGTTGTCAGATATGTGGCCTCCTACCTTTGTCCAGTACATCTGGACTTCCTTCGTGGGTACTCTCACACCAAGGAGATGATTGAAATAAACTACACTACTGTGTCGATGAATTATGAAAGCATTTGATGATTCATAGTTTAGCCCAGTATTACAAGGTAGCTGAGTGACCAATAAACTATACTCTTAATGACCCTGGACATGATAGAATCCTTTCTAACAATGCAACTGAAGCCTCTCTAAAGGATCTGGTAGGCTCTCTATTAATAAGAGTCCTGTCCTGAGGGCTAACAACCATCGTTGTCAAGATGGCTATTTCCAGACATGGAATAATGACCTATGGTTAACCAAGTGGGACATCTTACTAGAAAGGCCCTCAGGAAAATCACTTCAATGCTTGTTGGCTTCACTCTATTAAATCTTGGGATGAACAACTGTTAAGGATTAAGAGCTGGTGGTCAATTTAACGCCAGCTGGATTACATCAGCATGGCGTTGGGCGAGGATGCTCCACCTGAGGAAAGTTGCCAGGATAAATAGGTGGAAAAGAAGGGCGGTGTGGACGGTTGAGGCATTAAGGAGGCATTGTGGGTTCTCCTACAAGTTGCTGTCTGAGCTGTTGGTTCTCCTGGAGAGGCTTTGGTCCTCACATCAAGCATTGCTTTCTGGCGCAGAGGGGAAGATGTGTGCTGCTTGGTCTCCAGGATAAACTCGTCATGCTGCTTCCTGACATGTACCCGACTGTGCTTGTCGTTGGTGGAGCTTGGGGCCTCCGTGTCGCTGAGGACAGCTGTGGTGCCTTTCAGGACAGCCCTGGTCTTTGTTGTGAGTGTGACTTCTCGGCTGCAGCGTAGAACCCTCCTCCCACTAGCACAGTTCCTTCATCCTGCTAGCATAGACTTTCTGGCTTCCACGGCTGATCCTTGGGTCTTCCCGGCATGGATCCGTAAAAGAGACTGGCGTGAGTCCTTGTGGGCCTCCAGTTGAACTCTTGGGAGGCATTGTCCTGAGCTCTGGGTTTTTATCTGGACTCATGTGGGACATTGCTGTGGGGTTTAGGCTCTTGACTAATCTATGTCTTTGGTGTTGCGAATAGATTTCCTGCATTTTCCTGTGTTAACTTCCGGTGACCATTATAAAAATATTATAAACTCCATGTCCTGAACTGAATTGTTCTCTGTGTACAACTCCTGACTACAACAACAACCCCCCGGATAACATTTATACACAATAACCTTATAGACTGAAGACTGATTTGCAACAAACTGGCTCCCCTTGGTACTCATTGGTCCCATGGACCCAGTCTGTGGCCCTGGCTGCTCCCTGGATGGACAGGAAGACACAGGACGGGATCTGCATGGTTATCAGGCAGAAGGGTCAACGGCACTGACAAACCTACAGACTCTAGAAGAGTTTCACTGGTGTGATCATTTGGCTTCTGTCTTTACCCCTTCCCTCGGGTTAGAGGATGTCATGCAACGCATCGAGCCTTAACTAACTACACTCGGTGGGCCTTAAATGACACTGCAGCTGGTCTCTCTCCCCTGAATGAAGAAGTACAATGAATGAGGCGAGCTGTCCTCCAAAACTGAACGGCATCAGCCATTCTAACAGCAGCACAAGGGGGGCAGGGGGGAAGGGGTAAGAGCTGAATGCTGTGTGCACATTCCTGATCTTTCTGCTAATATCTCAATAGCTGTCAAGAACGACAGGGTAATGGCGCGTCAGATTCTGAAATCCCTGGACCTTCTCCTTCCTCTTTGTGGAAAGCTGTTATTGGCTCCTTCCTCCTGATGCAAACCTTTGTTGGCTACATTCATAATCTTCCTGCTGGTGTTATTATTGGCCCTTGTACACTTAATTGTTTCCATGGCCTTGTCTCCTCCAGATTGAAAGCTGTATAAGACAAGAACACCTGGTGCCTGCTGAGGGCCTTTAACTAGACCCTCCGTGGAGCATCTCCCACTGCCAGTCCCAACCAGGACTTCTTCAGCTGCAAGCGCTCACGTCAGTCCTCGCCCGTTGCCCCTTCCCGGCAGTTAGGGTGGGGTACTACAGACAGCGGAGTGAGACAGAAATATCCTAGGCAGTCAGACAGGGCTGGGCCCTTGGGTCAATGTGGACGGAGGCATCTTCACTGACGGTCAGATTTCAGAAGAAAATGCAACTATTCGCTCATACACTTCCCCTGGAGTGGACAGCAGGGACTGCCGTTCTAACTAGGCATCAATCTCCTTGGGGCGGAGGATCAGCCTTCTTACCCCAGCCCTTCCAGGAAAGTCCTCATCTGCCCAGGTGCTCTTGCCGCAGGACTCATGTCCCCTGTTGATGCCCTAATCAATATTGCACTTGTAAGCTTATTGGTTGCTCATAGTTTCGTCCCACCTCACACTCATCCTATGATTTGCCATCGGATCAGTGTCGCCTGTGACTATCGTTGTAATCGTATTGATTACATAATAAACTTGCGGTTGTAAAGATTACACCTGTAAGATTCCAACCATATGAATCCTGGAAAAGGTGAAAGCACAGAGATAGTAAAGTGATCAGTGATCGCTAGCTGGTGTGGTAGTGCGTGTTGTAATCACAGGAGGATCGCTTCAGCTGGAGACCAGCCTGACCTGCACAGTGAAACCCTGTCTCAAAAAGAAAAAAAAGTTACTGACTGCTAAAAGTTTAGGAGAAGAAAGAGATGAATGAGCAGGACCATTCACTTGGTAAGTGAGAGTTTTGCCCTAGAATGCATTACAGGACCTTATGGCAGTGGAAGCCAAATCAGGGGTGTTTACTCTGAGGTCACTTTCTCCTTCCCCCAATACAAGGTCCTTTTTCCTTTTTCAGTGTGTGAGAAAAAAATTCCAATCATTAATGCCCTCCCTAAGCACCACCCCTGGTCAAAGGTTACATATGCCCCACACCCCAATCCAGGCCAGAGGAGAAAACCCAGATCATTTCCGTTATGGGCTCCTCTCCATGCCCTTGGAATAAAGGCCACTTTTATATTCTGCTCTTTCATTGCACCGAAAAACTCTAACAGTAAGGTGGCACGCATCTGTAATTCCAGCACTCTGGGAAGCTAAAGCAGGAGGATCCCAAATGCAAGCCCAAACTCAGAAATTTAGCAAGACCTTGTCTCAAAATAAAAAAGTAAAAAGATAGACTGGGGATGCAGCTGAGTGCAGACACACTGGGTTCAATCCTCAGTACCACTAAATGTGTGTGTGTGTGTATGTACATATACATGCACTTACATGAGCAAATATATGTACATATATGTATGAGCAAAGTAAGTCAGTTGCACATTGAATTATATTGCTATACACTTAAAACCCTCCCTTGGCGGGAATTTTATGGTAAATAAATTTTACCCTCCTTAAGTGTTTTTAAAAGTCACTCACAAAAGAGTAAATGCTCCAAAGTCCCATTTATATGAAATTGAGGCAAAATGAGCACCGCTCGTTAAGGATGCGAAGGTGGTGGATAGGCAAAGCAAGGAGCTGGACAGCGTGAGGAAGGGTGCTGCTCGGTGGAAGGGCTCCTGCTCGGCGTGCTCAGCCCCAGCTGACCTCGGCATGGGGCGGGGGGACGACACAGAAACAGTGGCATTACCCTGGCAGGAGGACACGGCACCTTCCATGTGTCCTGGGTAGTGTTGCCGCAGACCTGGCTTGGGGATTCTTTAAGCTGTTTATGTTTTACGCCATTTTCTACATATGTCCCATAGTGGCGAAGTGATGATAGTAACAATAAAATTTAAATCACTAAAAGAAAAAGACAGGACCGGTCACACTGCGTACCTGGCCACTGCCTGCATGCAGGCACTGTGCGCCCCGGGTCTCCGAGCAGTGTCATACCACGCCTCTGGGGGCCTGCGGAGGCCAGGGGATGGGCCCTGGGGCAGCCTGGCACGCAGGCCGGCCTTGTCCGTGTGTTTAAGCTCCTTTGTGGAACATCGCCTTCCTACAGGAAAACAGGAGAGCCCCACTGACGCTCTTACAGGCAACTCCAGCCGCTCTTGCAGTGGGCGATCCCTTGACTGACACCCCACAAAGCACCTGTCCCATCCCGAGGGCCGCTTTTCTTCTCTTCCTCTGCCTTTTGCTGTCTTTGAAACAGAGGACCAGCAAACGGGGGCACTGTAACCTGCAAGGAAAGAGGCTGTATGAGGCCCGGAGTGCAGTTTGTACTAGGTTTTTAATCCGTCCTCAGCATTTGAGTATGCATGGCCTTCCTGCACCCCAAAGCAGCTGAGAACCAAGACACAGGTGTGGTGCCAGCCCCAGAGCAGCAGAGGGGTGAACACCGCTTGCCCCAGCGAAGGACACTTCACTGAGCACGAATGGCTGGACGGAGAAGAGGCCCTCGAAGAAGGGACCTGCTCCTGCGCCACGTGGCCGTGGAGAAACTGGAGCCACGCCAGCTCCCGTGGTCCCTCGGTGTATACAGACAATCTGTAAATGTTTCGCTTTATTTTGTTTTTGGTGCTGAGGTTCAACCCAGGTCCTGGGCAAGGCTCTTCCACTGAGCTACGAGCCCCGGTGACAAGCTCCCCAGGACAGGAGCCAGCACAACGCTGCAGAAGCAGGAGACATACTCCTGGAGCCCTGCTAACTGCATGTAGGGGCTGAGAGAACGGGAGAGAGGGACCAGGGGATGGGAAGTGCACAAGTCCTGCGATGTTTTCTCCTGGTCTCCTGAAGACAGCAGGAGGAGTATTCTTTTCCTCCACAGCATTTAACCCAAGCCTGGGCCCAGGGCAGACAATCCCTGAGCCAGGTACGGTGTCCCACATACAATAATCCCAGCTATTTGGAAGGCTGAGGCAGGAGGATCATAAACTTGAGGCCAGCTTAGGCAACTTAGTGAGATCCTGTCTCAAAACTTAAAGAAGGCTTGAGATTTAGCTCAGTAGTGGAGCACTTGTTAGCACGTGCAAAGTCCTGGGCTCTTGTGCTAGTGCTATAAAACACACACACACACACACACACACACACACACACACACACACACACCCCTTGAATAAATGGGAGGCACACATCAACACCTCTGGCAATTAAATTCTATACCACCACTGGGTGTGCTGGCTCACATCTGCAATCCCAGCACTCAGGAGGCTGAGACAGGTGGATTATTGTGAATTGGAGACCAGCCTGAGCTACAAAGTGAGCCCAAGGCCAGCCTGAACTGCATAGCGAGACCCTGTCTCAAAATATCCACCAAAAAATAAGACAAAAGATTCTACACAACCACAATAAACCTTATCTTTCTCCCAATGATCTGGTTTGGTTTCTTTTTTAATTAATAGGAATATCATGTGACTTCTTCTGATACACAGGAGCAAACTACTGCAATCTACATCTCAGCATTTTAACTCAACCATGGGCAGTGCAGGGTCCGCGGACTTGTTTCAAGCCGGTGTGTTAACTCTGTGGGGAGCCTTCCTTGATATCCCTCAAGAAAGAAGCTTCCCAAGTCCCCCTGGCCATGCACTGGCTGGGCCGCACTGCTGTCCACACGTGGTCCCCAGGCCTCTCTTCCTCTGCTGCTGCCGGTTTGCTGCATGCGATCGAGGATGAACAGAAGAACCAGTTGCCGCGGGGGCTTGTGCCCGCCTTGCTTACCAGTAGATGGAAACTCGCCAGGAATCTAAATTACTTTTGAATTCCTGCTCTGAAACGGGAAATGCTTTTGTGCATATTTTTAAATGAAAAGAGAATAAGCACACCTAACTCCCAGGGCTCGGGAGAGGCCCCGGTTCCACTCCCTAAGCAGAAAAAAAGTCTTACATTGCATTACTAAAGAGCTGTGATCCTCCTAAATTCTCCCTATCCTTGGCAAATACCTGGGGAAAACATAAAAAGCAAAGATCCCGTGGTGCACGCCACCAGAAAGCAACAGGTTAAATTTGTACTACAAAGAGGTAGACCTAAAGCTCCCTATAGGTTCCTGACCGCAGAGTTCTAACAAAACCATTTTCTAAATAAGAAACCAATGGGTTGCTTTGCAAAGCCAAACTGAAGGACAGCGTTGGCTGTTGACGGTTTGGTGGCCCTGAGCCACATGGTCCTGTAACAGCTCTGCACATGACACAGACCCCATCTCTTGTTTGCTCCCACCGACAGCGGGGCCCTCCAGTGACCCAGGCCTGGCCACTGAGACCAAGGGAAGCTGGCAAAGCGTTCTGGATGTGGGCTCTGGAACAGGATGCAGGAAGAGCCCACTCCGTTCCTCACCCCTCCTCTCTGCCTGGAGCGCAGACCTAGCCCTGCACACGCCACCCCCCAAATGCGAGTCACAGTGGACCTGAGAACACCAGCAACCGGGAGAAAACTGACTCTGGTCCTTGACTTCAAAAAATAAACTCTAATAAAGAAAAAAGAAACGATACCGATTTCCTTGCATGGTTGCAGTGATAGTCAGCATTCTCTTGCTTTGTTTTTTCACGTCCTCTGAGCAAAGTTACTTTTTCTGCGATTCTTTGCCGAAGAGGCTCTGCTACAGTTTCCACCCACTTCTTGTGTAGCATCTCTTTTCTTCTCTTCTTAAACATATCTAAATGCTGCAGGTATGAATCCAGACTCTAATGAGGTGACACAAAGAAGGCAGATGATTCAGAAATCTCCCAGGAAGGGAGCCTTTGAGAGATGGGGGAGGTGTCTGAGAGAAGAGAGAGCGGGTGACAGGAGTGAACATGCTGTCACATGTGTGCCCGAGTACCAGAGCGGGTACCATTCTGCGTCACTACTGTGCACCGTGTAAAAAGAAGTTTTCATTCGTTGTCCTTGCCCAAAGGGGGAACCACTGGCTCCCGCTCCTATGCCCTCCGCCACACTCGGCCAGAGTGCAGCACACGGAATAAACTGCACAGCCGGGCACTCGGGGAGAAGCTCTGGGGAGGTCTGCTGGGGACCACAAATTCACAGTGGCTGGTTTTGCCTATTTCCCCGTGGGATGAGAGGAAGGACAGGGATTGTTGGTACCACCCATCTGGGATTTCCCATGGACTCTTCCAAGCATACAATCATCTGCGCCTTTTAAAGTCATCTCAGGATTACAGTGAAGGATAAAATACTTCCAAGCATAAGATCATCCATACAATCATCGCAGGATTACACTTGGGTCAAGATATTTCCAACATAAGACTATCTACACCCTCCGGAGTAGAGTCTTTGGGTGAACTGTAATCCTTTGCCAGCCCCATCTGTGATGATACAGACCGAATAAATAGTGGCTGTTTTGGGAGTGGAAGAGGTCGGATCCAGAGACTTGACTTCCCAGCCATTGTTGGAATATGATACTTGTCTCTGGTTTTTATTTTTCTGTGACATTCTTGAGACTGACAATCAGGACTTTTGGCCAGGATCCCCACAGGGGTCAGCAGCACAGATACCTTCAGACGGCCAGCTCAGGAGCCAGACCAAACCATGGCTAACCCGGTGGATCCTTACTTCCTCTCCAGGATGCCAAAGCATGCCTGGTCCCCGTTTTTGCCCAGTCTTCGTCATCGGGGTGTCTACGACTATAGTGGTAGAGTGGGAAGAGCCCCAGACTTGCATGGACACTCTGATCTACGAAAAGGAGGCTAATCCCACGCCGCCCTGACACTCACAGGAGAATACACATGCACTGCCTTTACACACTGCGGACCACAGGACAGACGCCCAGGCACTAGTACAGCACCAAGATCAGCCTCACCTTCTGAAACTCACTTCACCCAAGTGTGGTGATCCCATTGCGACCACCGGTTAGTGAACGGTCAGTTTCCTTAAATATGAATTCATGGCCGGGGATGTATATCTATGAATTCATTTCTGGTGGACTGATGCAGCCCTACTACAATGTGGGATCACAGGAGAAGTGTTATAGGGAAGAACTGTTATTCAGTGCCAGACCAGGAGGGTCATGGACATAGTGATAGGGTTCATAGGTAGAATTAGATTTTAGGTAGGGTGTGGTGGCAGATTCCTATAATCCCAGCACTCCTGAGGCCGAGGCAGGAGGTTCGCTGTGAGTTCGAGGGCAGCCTGGGCTACTGACTGAGCTCGAGGCCAGTCTGAACTGCATAGCGAGACCCTGCCCCCCCCCCTAAAAAAAACCCGAATAGAATTAGATTTTAAATGTCCCTCAGAGACCCCTGTCTTGGCTCCCAGGTGGTGGTGCTATCTGGAGGTGGGGACCACCTTAGGAGGCAGGGCCTAGGGGAAGTGTGGAGGTCGCTGGAGCTGTGCCCCAAAGGGGACAGGGGATCAGGACCCTTCTCCGCCATGGGGTGAGCTGCCCCCCTCTTCTGCCTGCTCACAGTGAAGCCATGTGACTGCTGACAGAAGCCCTGAGCCACACGAGCCTCTGCTCCATGGAAGGTATGTGGTACATGCCTGTCATCCCAGCACTTTGGGAGGCTGAGGTAGGAGGGTTGAATATTTGAGCCCAGCCTTGTAATTTAGCAAGACACCGTCCCAAAATTAAAAATTTAAAAAGGGCTGGAGATGTAATTCAGTACTAAGATCCATACCAAAAAAAAAAAAAAAAAAAAAAAAAAAAAAAAAAAAAACCCTGGTTTGTCTCAAGCATTTGTCAAAACCACAGACAGCAAACGACACAGTGACCTCCCCTCCCAGCTGCCCTGCTCGGTCACTGCTGCTCCCCGGAGAGCGGCAGGCTGAGGACGCAGCCCAGAGTCTTACCCTCACCACGTAGCTCTCCCTGGATAACAGCACGTGCACAGCCTGGTCGATGTCTGCTCGAGCCAATGCCTGAAACGACAGAGCAAATGTTAGCACATGAATCCTGCAGAAACAAATCCGAGGGACACATCTCAGGGCTCGGGCCAGTGTGTGAAAATCCGACATGGACCCAAGGTGTATGAAGTATCTTCATCAGGGATGTTTTCCAGGAAATCATCATCCAAGACCAGCACTTTCCACCACAGCCAACTGCATTCCCCCAGCCCGGGCTACAAAGTGAGCTCAAGGCCAGCTTGACCTGCACATCGAGAGCCTGCCCCCAAGGACCAAACAGAAAAAAGAATAAAAGCCAGTACCTAGAATATCCAGGATACTAAAACAGTTATCTCTAGTGAAACTGGCATAGGTCCTTGGGATCTTGTTTTTCAGTCTTCTTTCTATTCTGTTAAGTGCATCAAAACCAAAAATATCTGTCACTAAGAGAAATCTCACAGCTGCATTTTTACCCATAATTTAATATATGGGTTTTGTTTTTTTTTGTTGTTGTTGTTTTTGAAAAAGATTCTCATTATGTAACCCAGCCTGGCCTTGAGTTCACCATAACTCTCCTGCCTCAGCCTTCCCCGTGCTGGGATTACACGCATGCACCACTACACCTAGTGTGAATTCCAAAATGATACTCATATAGATAGTTAGGTCTCAAAATAAAGTTCTTTATAAGATAACTAGAATTTCACTTGAAAAAATTTAGACTTAAGATAGCAACTAAACAAGGCTGTAAAACAAGCATATTTCCCTGAAACCAAACTATACACTTAAAATCAACCACTGTATTTATTCAGAGAGGTAAAAATACACAGGCTGACTAGTATCTTAGGTAACCGTGGTTTTTGGCCAGTCTGCTAGGTTTATGAGCAAACAGTCTCAGCCACGTGTCAGATTTTCATCCAGTTTTGTTTCAAGAAAGAAACCGTTGTTTTTTTCCGGGAGGCCGAGGCAGGAGGATTTCGGTGAGTTTGAGGCCATCAGCCCCCGCTGAGGCCCAGTTCCGCAGCTGCCCGGCCAGCCCAACCCAGCGGCCTTACCTCCATGTCGGATGCGGATGTGGGCCCCGGCCAGGCCCGCAGCAGCTCGGGCCTGCGTTGGCAGCAGCGGGGAGCCTTCCCGGCAGCCATGGCGACAACTGCACCGCGCGAGGGAGGGAAACTGAGGCGCCCGCCGCGTAGGGGTGGGGCACCGTGCGTGCGGCCGGGCAGCGGGACTGCTGCTGGTGGGCTGTGGTTGTTTGTCCAGGGCAGGTAGAGGAACAGGAAAGGGAATTTGCTGTTTGTCAGATGGAGGCCACGGCCAGGACAGACGGACTGATTTTCAGGGACAGATCAGACACTGCCTCCCCCCCCCCCCGCCCACACACACACACACACACACACACACACACACACACACACACACACACTGGGGATGGAATCCAGCGCCTGGGCACTGAGCTGCATCCCCAGGCCTTTTTATTTTTAATTTTTATTTTGATTCTGTGTCTTCTGGTCTCTAAGTTGCCCACGGAACAGCCCTGCACCCCACCTGCCACCCTCCTGCCTCAGCCTCCCCCAGGGCTGGCACTGCCCGGGCTCACCAGGCCAAGCTGCTGGTTTTTTCCTGAGCTGAGCAGAGCTTGCAGCTGTGGTACGTGAGCCTTGCCTGGTTTCTGATTGGAAAAAACAGGTTTTCTGATTGGAAAAATCTCGGCCAGGTGGTGGAAGGGTGGGGAGCTGCTGGGCGCAGGGTGCTGGGACTGGCTCCCCAAGCCGGGCACTAAAGGCTGCGTGAAAGTAACCCGGGAGGCTGCCGGGCAAGTGCAAGGTCCTGAGATTGATTCCCGCGGACCCCTCCAAAACCCCAGAAAATAACGTAGGAGGTGGCCGGTGAAGAATGGGTGCCTTAGGATTAAACAAGATGGGAGCTCATGCTTTTCTGTTGTGTACGAGATTGAGATTTTTTCATAATAAAAAGACTTTTAAAAAAACTACTCGACACATCTGCTGACATTTCTTTTGGGGTAATTTTGCTTTGGTCTGGTTTTGGTTTTGAGACAGGGGCTCAGTATGTAGTGAGGCTGGCCTTGAACTCACTGTGTAGCCCAGGCTGGCCTCAGATTTGCAGCAAACATTCTGCCTCAGCCTCCCCAGAGCTGGGATTGCAGGCATGCCCCACCATGCCTGGCCTTGACCGACCAACCGACTTCTTCCTTTCTTCCTCTTTCTCTTTTTTCTTTTCTATTTCTTTCTTGTGCTTTTGTTTCTTTCTCTTCTTTCTTTCTTTCTGCCTCTCCTTTTTCTCAATCCTTCTTTTTTAGATTTTCTCACTGGAGATAACAGAATTGATTACTGTACATATTTTCAAAAGAAACTGAAAGGGGAGAAAGTGTGTAGAGCCAAGGATTTAAATGGCCTTGTTGGTTTAGTTTTTGGTTTTTATTTATTTGGGTTTTTTTTTTTTTTACACAATCTGAAAATGATTTTATAAGTTCATGTAAATTGCACAGAATAGTGGATTACATTTTGGTGTACTGCAACTTGCATATAATATACATTGATTTTTTTTTTTTTTTTTTTGAGGTGCTGGCTTGGCTTCCCAGAGTCCTAAGTTCCAACATGGCATGGATCTCAGGAGACACTGCTAGTTCTCCCCCTGGAAGGGCTGCAGTGGGCCACACTACCGCCGCTTACCAGGGAGGGGAGGTGCTGGCTTGGCTTCCCAGAGTCCTAAGTTCCAACATGGCGTGGATCTCAGGAGACACTGCTGTTCTCCCCCTGGAAGGTATTTGTTTGTTTTTTGAGACATGGTCGTGCTAGGAATCTTCCCAAGTTAAAGTCATACTGCAGTGATACGTGCACACCCATTTTATAGCAGCCCAACTCATAAGAGTTAAACCTTGGACATGGCTATTACTACCTAGGAGGGGAAGAGCTAGGCCTAACAGAATTCCTAGTTGTAGTTTTTTAGGAATCTCCACAATGATTTCCATCGTGGCTATGTAATTTTTCACCAGCATTTGTTACTATTTGAGTTCGTGATGACAGCCATTCTTTCTGGAGCAGGATAGAATCTTAGTAGTTTTAATTTGTGTTACTCTAATGGTCTGAGATGTTAAATTTTTTTTCATGTATTCATTAGCCATTTCTACTTCTTCATCTGAGAAGGTATCTCTTCATTTCAGATGCTCATTTTTTTAATGGAGTCATTTATTTTGGTGAGTCTAATGTTTTGAGTTCTGTCTCTCTCTCTTTCTCTCTCTCTCTCTCTCTCTCTCTCTCTCTCTCTCTCTTTCTATCACACATTTATTTCCATTCTATAGACTCTCTCTTCACTCCATTGACTGTTTTCTTTGCTGTGTAGAAGCTTATTTTATTTTTTATTTTTTGGTACAAGGATCACAACCTCATGCTTCCAAGTCAGGCACCTATGCCACTGAGCTAAATCCCCAATGGGAAGCTTTTTAATTTGATAGGATCCCATTTGCTGATTTTTGACCTTATTTTGTGTAGCTGGGGTTCTGTTCAGAAAGTCCTGGCTTTGTCTATGTCTTCAAGGATGTTATCTATTTATCTTACAGCAGATTAGTGTTCCTGTTCTAACATTTAGGTCACTGATCCATTTTTGTTTTATTTTAGTGGTAAGAGATATGGATCTAGACTCAGTCTTCCGCGTGTGAGTAGCCAGTTTTCCTAGCATCACTTCCTAAAAATGCTCTCTCCTCCCGGATATGCTTCCGGTCCTTTGTCAAAGATCAGATGGCCAGACGCGCCTGGGGTTGTTTCTGCACCCTCCATTGTGTTCCGCTGATTCACATGTCTGTTTTTGTGCTCATACCATGCTGGTTTTTCACTGGAGCTTCATAATACAACTTTAAGTCTGGGATTGTGCTGTTTTCTGTTTTGCTTTTATTGCAGAAGGCTGTTACTGCTATTCTAGGTGTCTTCTACTTCCGTTTGAATTTTAGGATTGTTTTCTCTAGTTTTGTGAGGAATGCTGTGGTATTTTAATTGGGATTGAATATCAGTTTTGGAAGTATGGTAATTTTGACTATACTAGTTCTCTTTGGCAGGAAGAGGAAATATCTATTTTCTGATTTCTCTTCAGTGTCCTTTTTCAGAACCAGTAGTTTTTTTTGTTTGTTTTTGTTTTTGTTTTTGTTTTTTTTGTTGTTGTTGTTATAGAGGTCTTTCACTTCCTTTGTTAGGTTGCTTCCTAAGTATTTAATTTTTCTTGATGCTATTGCTAATCGTATTGCTTTCTTAATGTGTCTCAATGAGTTCATGACTGGCATACAGGAACCTATTGAATTTTTGTGTTGATTTTGTAACCTGCTATCCTACTGAATACAGTATTTAATTTAGGATCCTCTTAGTGGAATTTTTGGAAATATCTACATAGAGCATCGTATAATCTGTGAATAACAAGTTTTAATTCTTCCTTTTCTGTGCATGTTCCTCTTATTCTGTACATGTCCTTCTTGCTTGATTGCTCTGGCTAATTTTTCAAGTATCATATTGAACAGGAATGGTGACAGTAGAGAGCCTTTGTCTTATTTCTGATTTTAGATGGAAAGCATTCAGCTTTTCCCCATGTAATGTAATGTCGATAGTAGGTTTGTGATACATGGCTTTTAGCAGATTCCGGTAAGATCCTTCTGTATCTATTTTACTTCTTTTTTTTTTTTTTTTGTCTTTTTCCTTTTTATCGGTACCGGGGATCGAACTCACGACTGCCTGCTTATAAGGCAGGCGCTTATGCCGCTGAGCTAAATCCCCAGCCCCCTTCTGTATCTATTTTCTTTGGGGTTTTTATAATCATGAATGGATATTGGATATTGTCAAATGTTTTGTGTGAGTCAACTGAAATGATCATGTGATTTTTGTCCATTTGTTTTTTGAGACAGGGTCTCCTGTGTAGTTCAGCTTGGCCTTGAACTATGTAGCTCAGGCTGCCCTTGAAATCAGGACAATCCTCCTTCCTCAGTCTTCTGAGTACTGGGATTTCAGGCATGCACCACTGTTTATGTGATGTGTTCATTGATTTGAATGTGTTGAATCCCCCTTGTATCCCTGGGATGAAACCTACTTGATCATGATGTATGATCTTTTTGACGATTTGTTTCATTCTGTTGGCCAGTGTCTTGTTGAAGATTTTTGCATCTGTATAAGAGATTGGCCTGCAGTTCTTTTTTCACTTGAGTCCTTGTCTGGTTTTGGAGTCAGGGGAATGCTAGCTTCCAGGAAAAGACTTTTGAATATACCCTTTCCCTTTCTGTTCCATTAAAAAACCTAAGAAGTACTGACCTTAGGTCTTCTCTGAAGTTCTTGTAGAGTTCAGCGGTAAATCCACCAGACCCAGGACTTTTCTTAGTTGACAGTTTTTTAAATTATTATTACTGCTTCAGTTTTACTGCCTATTATTGGGTTATGTATTCTCCAATTTATTGAAACACAGGTTTTCAAAGTAATTACTAATTTTTTTCAAGGTAGTTATTAATAACCTGGATTTCCATTTCTAATTGCATTGATTTGCAACTTTTCTTTTCTGGTAAGACTGGCTAAATGTTTGTCTATTTTGTTAAGTCTTTCAAAGAATCATCCCTTTGCTTCATTGATTGTTTGTATTTTTAACCTCCACTCTATAAATTTCTGCTCTAAAATTTTATAATTTCCTTCCTTGTACTGGCTTTGGATTTGGATTGTTCGTGTTTTATAGACCTTGAGGAGCATGATTAGGTGATTTATTTGGCTCTTAATTACTTTTCTTGTTGCTGAGATAAAATACCTGACACCCCAAATGAAGGAAGGAAAGTTCCACTCAGCTTACAGTCTGTAGAGGTTTCAGTCCACAATTCAGTGCAGTTATAGCACTCACACCCTTGATCCCAGCATTGGATCATGATCGATCACAAAATCCAGAGTCAGCCATCTCTGAAAATCCTACCCCCTATGACCACATGAGGCTTTGGGGACACATCAGACACAAACCATAACGGGTTCACTCTGTTTTTCTGAAGTGGGCATTCAAAGCTATGAGCTTCCCTCTTTCCTTTGTTTTCATTATGTCCCATAGGTTTTGGTATGTTTCAGTGACATTATCATTTAATTCTAGGAACTATCTTATTTCTTCCTTAGTTTCTTCTGTGAACCATTGATTATTCAAGAGTGTGCTGTTTTATATATGTTTGTTTGTTTTGTACCAGGAGTCAAACTCAGGACTTTACACTTGCCAGGCAGGCACTGTGCCACAGAGCTATATCCCTGGCAAGAGTGTGCTATTTAACTTCCATGTGTTGGCGTAATTTCTGTGGTTTTCTTTGCCATGGGTTTCTAGTTGTATTGCACTATGATCTGATAATATGCATAAGTTTGATTCTTTTTGTATTTACTTAAAACATACTTTATGGGCTATTGGATTGTTTAGTTCGGTACCAAGAATCAAACTCAGGACCTCACACTTGCCAGGCAGGCACTGTGCTGCTGAGCCATATCCCAGGCCCAGATTGTCTATTTTGGAGGAAGTTCCACTTGCTACTGAGAAGAGTGTGTATTATGGTTTTGTTGGACGGAATACTGTACCTATCTATTAAATCCATTTGTTCAGAAGTTTGGTTCAACTCTGATATTTCTTGGTTGATATTTTGTCTAGCTGACCTGTTTGTGGCAGTGGGATACTAAGACCCCTCACTATAACTGTGTTGATGTTTACCTGATCTTTTGTATCCATCAGTGCTTGTTTTATGAAGTTGTGTGCACCAGTGTTTGGTGCATATATGTTGATAGTTGTTATCTTTCCTGTCAAATTGTTCTTTTTTTTTTTTTTCTTTTTTGTCAAATTGTTCTTTAACCAATATGTAATGCCCTTCTTTGTCTCTTCTGACAATTTTGGCTTTTAGTCCATATTGTCTGAAAATAGAATAGTTACTCCTACTTGATTTCAGATTCCCATTGCATGTAATAATATTTACTATCACTTTTTAGTCTGAACTTTTTTGAATTAAAAATACTGCTTGCATATAATATGCTGCTGGGTTTTGTTTTTTGATCTACTCTTATTAATGACCAAGAATTCACAATGGCTAATTTTGCATACTTCTCTAGAGGATAAATGGAGGGATTATGGTATCACACTTTTGAGACTTCTCATTAACTCTTCGAATGGGCCGTCCTCTCACCCACTAAGACTAAACTAAAACTACTAAAATGAAAAAGAACACTCCAGAGGCAAGACCCTTCTTAGCATAAGATCATCTTCACTCTCTTGACTCATGCCAGGATTACTCATTTCCTGCAGTGTCAGGGACCTCTGAATCTTCCTCTGACCTCTGAATCCTCTGTCATTGTGTACATCATTGCATTTTACAATAAATAGGGCTGTTGTGGAGTATCTGAGTCTTCGTCCACTCTGAGGCACTGACCTCCCAGCTCCCCATCATGCATTACTAGATTTTCTTATTCTTCACTGTACCCCTCATACAGGCAGTTAGGGATACAGTCTGCCAATCTGTATATTTTGATTGGTTTTTAGAGACCATCCACCATTGAGAATTATTACGAAAGATACTGATTTACTCCTGTGATTATATTATTTTCCTGATCATTCCATCTATTTCCCTCTTCTTTTGTAAGAGTGTACCCTGCCTAGAATAGTTACTCTCCTAGACTTTTTGACATCATTGGCTTCATTATCTCTTTGTAGGATATCCTTGTGAGTTTTTTGGAGTGTCAATATGGGGTCATGAATTTCTTAACATACTCTTTGTCATGGAGATACTTATTTCTCCATCCATTTTGAAATAGTTTTGCAGGATATATCAATCTTAGTGGAAATTGTTTTAAGGCTTAAAACACTTCCCTCCAAGCTCTCCTGGCCTTTAAAGTTTGTGTTGAGACATCTGCTCTTTTTTTTGGGGGGGGGGGGGTACAAACTCAGAACTGTGCTCTTGCAAGGCAGGTGCTTATGCTGCAGAGCTAAATCCCTGGACTAAGTCTGCTGTACTTCTAATGAGTTTACATTTGTAAGTAATGTGTTGCTTTTCTCTAATAGTTTCTAAAACTTTGTCTTCGTGTTCTAATTCGGGGATTTTGACTATGCGGCATGGACATTTTTGTTTTGTTTTTTTGAGATGGAGTCTCGCTATGCGATTGACATTGGCCTTGGGCTCACTTTGTAGCCCAGGCTGGTCTCCAACTTGTAATAATCCTCTTGCCTCAGCCTCTGAGTACTGGGGTTGCGGGAGTGTGCCAACACACCTGGCCCTGAGATGTTTTTTTTCTAATCATTGCTATTTAAGATTCTATGTGCCTCATTTATCTGCATGTTAAAAGTTCCCCCTTATCTGGAAAGTTTTCTGCTATTATCTGTAAGTAGGGTTTTTTTTTTTTTATGCCATTCATGTTGTCTTCTGACTTTTCACTAATTCCTATTAATCCTAAATTAATCTTTCAGTCATTCAGTTGCTGTTCAATCCATTTTTTCAAGTTCTTTTGTTACTGTTGCTCTGTTTTTGTGTTTTTTGAGATAGGGTCTTGCTATGTAGTCTAGGCTGACCTTGAACTCACAATGTATCTCTGGCTGGCTTCACCTTATTGATCTGGTAATTTTTCTTATCTCCTTTCTTACCATTTCAAATAATTTAGTTGTGTGGCTTTTGATTTCATTCTCCTCAATGACCTATAGATCAGCCTTGGGGAAGCTGGGACGTTTGGCGACATTCTGTTACCTCGTCTTTTCATGATTTTTGTTTTCTGTGCCAAAGCTGGGAGGTCAGTTATATACAAAGACTTACTCCTTATACAGAGATCTTTAGTGTCTGTTTTTCAGTGATGCATTAGGACCATGACCAACCGTAGGCTGCTGCCTCTGTCTCAAGATCCAGCCTTCCCCATTAATTTTGGAAGGGAAGGTGCAGTGTGATTAGCCCAGGACTCTGTTCTCCAAGAAAGGACCGCAGTATTGTTAATGATACAAAAACAGTCCAGATACTGGCGTCCAGAGAAAGCCAATGAATAGCAACAACTACGCCACGCTAGCAGTAGCAAAAAAATCAGCAACAACACAGGGTACATGGGAAAGACTGAAGAATTCAGAACCCTCAGTTGCTACAAAAGTTCCAGGGGGTTCCCTTTGCCTGAGGAAAATAAAATTCTGTCCCCTCATGCTGAGGCTTAGGACTGAAACTCAACATGAGCCAGAGGAGGCTCTTTGGGCTGAGAAAGTGAATAATCACACCCAGAATGGATCCTTAAATTTTCTGAAGAATCTTGGAAAAGCCTAGGAGGAGATGTGGGTGTGAATTTTAAGGGTGCCTGACCAAAGGAAGCATGCCATAGTTTAGGAACAAACCGAAGGTACTGAGACAGGCACTCAGTAAGACTGCTATTATTTTCATTGAACCTCTCAACAATACTTTTTAACTTCAAGAGAAAATACATTTCTAGTAACTGTCAGTGCATGCCGTTTCCTAATTTCCATGGGTGCTAGACTCAAAGCTGAATGAAATGTCCCGCAGACGCAGTTCCTCAGAGACAGAGCGTCTCCGAGTACCTCTCCAGCCCTGCCTCGGAGGACCCCGCCAGCAGGTTAACATCCTTGGGAGCGGCCTTCTTCCGGGTCCTCCTTCACAGGTTGAGTATCTGGATATGTGGTCCTTGGTTGCTGAAACCTTTTGAAAGTGACAAAAGAGAAGAGGTGAAGGTGACCTAGGAAAAGATGCTGGCAGGGGCAGAAACAATTCTCCAGCTATGCTGAGCTGACCCCCACGCTGAGTTCTGGGTGGCTCGGCTGTCCAGGGCTGGTTCTCCACCCAAATATCCCGCCTCGGCCTTTTCCACTGTCCAGATCCAGGAACACCCAGATTCAGGGACAGAGCTGGCCCTGCAGTATCCTTCACATCCAGGTCACACTCTGCTACTACAGGAGTTCTCTGAGGACAAAGACTCTCCTTTTATGCCATTTATAGAAATCAGGTTTAAAATGTCGATGATCCTTCAACTCCTACCCAAACATGTTTGCTCCTCTTGACACCTAGCAGCAGTCAGGGGCTGCAAAGGAAATTGCTCTTTTGCCCCTAACACACAGATGATTCCAAATTCTTCTACTGCTTATGGCCTTCAGCTCCCTAGTGAACAGAGCTGACTTTTGCTACTTCCCTCTGTCCCGCGAACATGGTTCTTACTCCAGGGGCACGGCACAGACTGCTAAACTATTCCTCAAGACCACTGAGAAGCCCTCAGGGGCCAGCTCCCGTCTGTAACATCATCTGTTTCTGCTTTGCATTTTTATTCCTCACTCTGTTGTCCAGGCTGGTCACAAACTCCTGGGCTCACGCAATCCTCTTGCCTCAGCCTCCCCAAGAGCTGGGCGGACAGGAGTGTAGGCACTGAGTGCATTGGGTTCTTTTTACTAGTAGCTGTAATTTACATGGCATAAAGTTAACCCATTTTAAGTGCACAACTCAGTGGCCTTGAGCACACTTACAGAACTGGGACTCATCACCCATGCTAATTTTAGCACCTTTTCATCAGCCCTCGAGCTCCTGCTTATTCAGTCACTCCCAGCTTTCGGCAACCACTACCTATCACCTGTCTCTACAGATCTGCTGCCTGGACATTTCACATGAAAGGTCATCTGACAATGTATGGCCACTTGTGATTGGCTGCCTTCACTGGTATAATGGTTTTAAAGCTCATCCATACTGTAACATAAATCAGTACTTCTTTACTTTTAATTGCCAAGTAATAATATTTCATGTATGGATACACTACATTTTATGAGCAACTGAGCTGTTTCTACTTTGGGGCTGTTGTGAATACTGCTGTTATGAACATTACCATATTAACTCAAACATTTTCATTTCTCCTAAATAACAACCTAGTAGGTGAATTAGTGGGTCAAATGATAATTTAACTTTTTTGAGAAACTGCCAAGCTCTGTTCCAAAATGCCTGAATTTCTTACACTCCCTCCAGCAATGTCTGAGGAATCTTATTACTTTTAATCAGATCACGACAGATTACATAATTACTGATAAGATTTTGGCAGCAAGCACCCTCAAGTGAGAACAAAGGAGTAGAATTACTTTTATCAAGTCTGGCTGGGGGAAGAGTTTGGGAGGTAGGAAAAATGACATCTCAACAGCTGATACGAAGGAGCATCTGCCTGTGTGAAACAGGAGACAGAAAGGTTTCCTGGGGGCTGGGGTGGAGTAATTTGTGGGCCCCTGGGATTGGAGAGGGCTCGATGCACATGCAAAAAGGGAGCAGGAGAGGGACTAGAACAACAACACAGAAGTTACTTTTGGAAAGACAAATTGTTGCTTGGGGAAGTGTCCAGTTGGGTGGATGTCGTGTTAGAGATAGCTAAGTTAGAGATAGCTAAGGCTGGCAGAAGTGATCAATTATACAGAGAAATCGCTTACTTTTAATTCTAATACTAACTGAGGTAACGTTCCATGTTACATGCTAGGAGTATGTACCATCTGTGCTCATCACACCTTTTCACTCTAGACACGACACTATAACAGTTACTACCACAAAGACTTGTCCCAAACTTCACTTACAATACTCTAAAAATCAGTACAAAATCAGCTAAACTGTAACTTTCGTACATGCTGTCAACCACTTTTTTTGCATGTCTATGCTTGTCATTTCTGTGCTATTTCTTCCTTAAAACCAGAAGAGCCTGAGGAAAGCTGTCACTTCGCCCACACTCGATGGTGGGAGCTGCCTGGCAACGGTCCCAGGAGCCTGGTGAGGCCTTGGCACTGACTCTAGCAGTTGGAGAGGATGGCGGAGGATGGCAGCACAGCCAAGCATCTTAGATGGTAGGGCAGCGAACTGGAGTAACCGGCTTACTGGCAAATCACTGCTTCTTCTGCTCCCTGGGATTCCAGAAGACAAGGAGCTCTAGGCAGAGGCTTCCAGTCAAAACTACTTTCGTTGAAATTCACTTTCACCTTTAACCTTTAATGAGAGAGCATATCTGAGGAGGTTTGGAAAACAATACCAGCTTCCATTTATGCAAAATTTACTGTTATACCCTGAGATACACATGTATTCTCTAAATCACTCTTAGGTCAAAGCAATATACTTGGATAAATTTAGTTGTTTAAGAATTTCTGGAAGCATATTTATTTATCACTGAGAACCAAGAATCAGCCAGGCAAAGGTAAAACCATTCCCCAGGGAAACCATTCCCTGGGCCTTATACCATAATGTTGAAAAAACAAGCCATAGACATGTGTCATTTATAAGCACATATAAAAAATGTTTTTCCCCAGAAAGAATTAAATACTCCATCTCCCTATCTAAAGTATCAAGTAGCTGCTTCAAAGTTGACACCCATGCAAGAGTTAACTGGAAGGAGACTCCTGCCCTACCTGGAGCTCACATCTGAGCAAGGAAAGAATCCACTCACCAAGATAAGAAAGCAAGAAGAACATATCAGGAATAAACAAGCAACGAGGCACGGTGGTGCATGCCTGTAAGCCCAGCAGTAAGGAGGCTGAGGCATCACCACAGGTTCAAGGCCAGCCTAGGGTAGACCAAACTGCACAGCAAGACCCTGTCTCAAAAATAATAAATAAATAAAAAAGATTTTAAAAAGAATGAATAAGCACTCTACAAGTCAAAGGAGAATTTAAAAATTAAAATTTTAATATTCAACACTGAAGACAGAATTAGATAATTGGAAAATATATCCAAGAAATTGCCGAAGGAAATGGGAAATATAAAGGACACATTAAGATTAGGACGGCATGTATGCTGAGCCCGGGGCGAGCTGGAAATAATGGGGGAGGGTACTTAAAACAATCCCTGGGGTGTATTTCCCTGAAGTGATGAAGACCATGAATACAGACATCCAGAAAGAACAATATGCCAATGTGTTAACTAAAAATCCACACAGACCCTCCAGAGAGAATGCAGAACACTAAAAACAAAAGATCTTAAAAGCAACCACAGAGAAAGGACCAAAAAATCAGAATGACAGCAGACTTCTCAAAAATAATAGAAGGCAAAAACGAAAGAATTATCTTTTTAAAATGTTAAGAGAAAATGAATGTCACCCTAGAATTGGGTACTCAGTCACTTATCTTTATTTTTTTTGTCTTTTTTCGTTTTTATCGGTACCAGGGATTGAACTCACGACTGCCTGCTTGCAAGGCAGGCACTTATGCCGCTGAGCTAAATCCCCAGCCCCCAGTCACTTATCTTTAAAGAACGAGGGTAATATAACGATATTTCATATTTTTAAAAAATTAATTTTCAGGACAATGGAGACTCGAGCATCCCAATAACTCCAGTTCACTCAAAACTGCACGCAGAGGTGTTACTGGTCATACCAGGATCTCTGGACCCAACAGCTGGCTCTTTGATCCTCTTGTACCCTCAGATTTGGGGACTCCCCCATCTGGCCAGAAGCCTAGACCCTTCCCCTGAGCTGGGGTCATTGACTCACCACAAAGGGTGTGGGAGATTCCTGGGGGAATAACCTAATTTTAAAGTCTGAACTTCAGAGCAGGGTACCGTGACACATGCTGTAACCCCAGCACTCTGGGAAGCTAAGGAGGATGGCAAATTCAAGTCCAGCCAGCAGAACTTAGTGGGACCCTGTCTTAAAAAAACTACAACTCAATGATAATTCTTAGACTGAATGAATCAATGTGATGTTATGTGCTCCCCTTTGAAATGGTTGATACACCGTGTCAATGTGAGAGTTCAGAAGTTTAAGAGACTCAGCAGAGAGCCAGGATCCTCACTGTAAACGTCCTCATCCTGTGCAAGAGGAGGGTCAGGAGATTTTGTGAGTGCTACACTGCCCTCTGGGCAAAGGTAGCCTGTGTACAATGGAAGCTTTCTTTGCCCCAGGTTTTTGTTCTGGCTACTGCCTTGAAGTGTTGCCCCAGTGCCAGGCTACCCTGCTTGGAGCCAGCTGATTATAGACTAAAACCTCCACAAACTGTATGCTAAATAAACCTTTGCTCTCAATTTTGAGTGTTGGGTATTTGTCTCAGCAACAAGAGAAAAGTAACCAAGACACCGCCAAAAGTTCAAGTTCCAGATCCTCCTGGATCTGTGAATGTATTCACACTTCCGGATCTGGGAATACATCTGTGAAATAATTTTGGAAATAGAGTTTTAGTAGACATGATGAAGTTACGAGGTATTCCGGGACCAAGATGGACCCTAACCCAATACAGGCATCTTTTCAAGGTGAGGCAAATTTGGAAACAGAACATGTGACAGTAGAGGCAGATACTGGAATCCTAAGGCTGAAAGCCAGGAACACCAAGGATTCTCAGCAACTACCAGCAGCTGGGAAAAGGGCAAACCTTCCTGAGCACCTGCAGAAGGCCACGGCCTTACACCTTAGCTTCAGACTTCCAGCCCCCAGAACTGTGAGAGAATGTTTCTGTTGTTTTAAGCCACTTGGTTTGCGGTGTGTCATTATCAAGGCCATAGGGAAGTAAGACATAGAAAACTCTTCAGAGCTCTGGGGTCAGGGTGTGGTTCACTGGTAGGGTGCTCACTTCACATGTGCGAATCAGCCCTGGGCCTGAGCCTCAACTTTGGATTCCTCTCAGATTCATCCTTCTCCCCCACCCTCCAAATCTAGCACATCAGTCTCTTCATTCACTTTGCCATCATCTTACCTGTGGTTCTTATCACCACAAATGTGGATTCTTCTCTCATTTTTTTAAAGTCTTCAAGCATGGTGGCTCATGCCTCTCATCCCAGCACTCTGTAAGGCTGAGACTTGAGGGTGGCTTGGGCAACTGGTGACTTAGCAAGCTTCTGTCTAAAATTGTTAAAACTCTTCAGAAGCAGGGGATACATCCCAATATAGGGTATGGGTTTCACATATCCAAGGCCCTGATTCAGCCCCCAGCCCCCCGAGACAAAAATAAGCACATGGAATTTTCTTAAATGATCCCTAGCCTCAAGCCTTATCCTGTATTTAAAACTATTTTATACCTCACATGTCAAATGATAGTTTCCTAGGACATTATTTTTAGGATATCCTGACTGTCCTCCTTGACTATTCTCAGTGACACCTACACTCCATATCATAGAACCCCACCGTTTCATTGGCAAAGAAGGAGGTTTACAGAATGGCTCCGACCCAGGTGCCCAGGCTCGGTCACAGGGACATGGGACACAGGAACATAACAGAGAATTAAGGTGGAAAGCAATGGAATCCACCAGTTACATTCACCCTGCTAGAGCCAGACTAGATGACAGAGCAGTGTGTTCTTTACAAGGTGGGCTATGGAGTCAGAGACCTGAACTGAATCTGTGACTGCCACTTTACGACTGTGGTGAGTCTGCATCTGATGCCCGCTGGAATCATCTGAAAACTGACGTCAGCTCCCATCCTGACAGAGTCTAATTCATTTACCTAGGGCATGGCTTGGACTTCGTGACTTTTTTAAGTCCTCAAAATATTCTAATATAAAACCAAGTTGAGAAATGCTGCTGTAAAATTGATAAAGTGCATAAATTATCTGTATAACAGAACTTTCCAAAATAGATTTCTATGAGCCAGGAGTGGTGGTACATGCCTGTACTTCCAGCATTCCAGAAGCTGAGGCAGGAGGATTGCTGTGAGTTTGAGGCCAGCCTGAAATACAATGTGAGACCCTGTCTCAAAAAATAGACCCCCCCCAAAAAAATAAAACCAAGAGGAGGAGGGAGAAAAAACAAATATTTACATAAAGAACAAACAAATTAGCACATGTTAAGAGCTTTTAACAATGTCTGGTATATAGTGGCTCATAAATGATCACTCTTATTACAAACTAGTGACAACAGTAATTTAGCTTATGTAACTGTTAAGGAGGGAGCACTTTTAAGACATAAAAGTACCCAGTGCTGGATTAGATAAAGGTTACAAAACCTGGAGCGCTGGAGAAAGAAAAACGCTGATGTCTCCCATAACTAGGAACACAGGAGAGCAAGGTCAGCAGGAGATGATGACTGGCATCAGTCAGCACTGGAGTCTGTGCAGGGCCAGGCTGGGTGGGGGGCCGGGTGACCCAGTAACTGCAGGAGCCTGGACACAGGCGCAGAACAGTTCCCAAAGCCCTGCACGAGGCCCTCTCAGGAGCACTGAGCACTGCAACAGGGCGGCCTGCACCTGAAGTCAGCCTGACGGATCCCAGCACCACTTCTCGGGATCCCCGGGCAGACACCCTCATCGTTCCGGGAGGTCTGGGCGGCACACAGAGATACGGACGCCGTGACGGTAAGCTGCCCTGATCTTGCCAACATGTCCTTTTATTGCTTTTTCTCCTTTTACTTTGCCAAGCTCACTCTGCAGAGCCAACTGCTCTCCCTTTTCACTTTTACTTTCTCAAATAAACTTGGCCACTGCTCTTTACTCTTTTTGATCAACTCTTTGTTCTAGACACAAAGAACCTGGGCTCTAACTCAGGGGGAGGCGAGCGACCAGAGCCTGGCAGCACTGAACTGGCGGGCCGCTTCCAAAAGGAGCCACCTAGTAACAGCATGAGCAGCCCTCCTCCCGCACAGGGCAGGACAGCCCACCACTGCAGGTGTTCGAGACTTGTAATGCAGTAAATGTAACAAAAGCAGTATCGATACCCAAACTCAATATGGTGGCAAACTCCAGTAATCCCAACACTCAGGAGCTGAGACAGGGGGATTGCAAATCAGAAGTAAGCCTGGAGCACACAGTGAGCTGTCTCCAACTGCAGCAACCCAAAACCAAACTCAGATTAGCTTCTGACTAGGTAGATCCAGTCTCCATACTAATGCTGCACAGAAGACATATACCCATTACTAGAGAAAATAAAGTATTCCTCCACCTCAAAAGACTGGCAATCAACAATCACAAGCCACTAAAAAATATAAAACAATCTACAGTCAGTCAAGAGGCAAAGCATTCAATAGAATCAGACTCAAAAATGACCTAAATGTTGATGCTAACAGGTATGAAATTTGAAATAGCTGTTGTTGCTACAGTATAGTTTCTAAAATCCAGTGAAAGATAGACAACACACATTAACTAATGAAGAATTTCAAAAGAAGTGAAAACTTTATGGAAAAACTCAAATGGAAATGCTAGAAATAAAAATAATATTCAGAGATGAATTCTTTTGATGGGCTCCTGGGTACACAAGGCACAATTAAGGTATTAAAGTTGTATGAAACTTGAGCATTATCAATTGTCTTAACATCTCAGAAGAAAAGGCAGCAAAAATAGGGCATAAGAAATATTTTAAGTGATAAAATTCCATGCCCAAATCATCAAATACATACCATACAACCACAGACACAAGAATCTCATAGAACCCTAAAAATGAAAAAAAACTGCTGGGCATAGTGGCCCCTGCACCTGGCAGACTGAAGCAAGAGAACTGCTGAGAGTTCAAGGCCAGCCTAAACCGCATGGTAAACTACTGTCTCAGAAAGACAAAAAGAACAAATAAATCCAAGATCTAGTATAATGTAGCTAATTAAATCTAAAGAAAAAAATCTTCACAACACCCAAGAAAAAAGAAACATCATATACAGAAACATAAAGATAAGAATTACAGAAGGCTTTGCACTGAAAAGTGAAATGTTTTAAAAGCTAACTATATAACAATGTACCGCTGGATGTGGCGGCACACACCTGTGATCCCAGAACTTGGGGGGCAGACACAGGAGGACCGAGGGACCCTGAGTGACTTCAAGGCCAGTCTGAACTACATGGTGAACCCATCTCAAAAAGATTTTAAAAAAAATTCTAGCACTGCCTCAGGAGAGAAATTTTAAAGTCCAAGGGGCTCACCATCTATTATATTAAACATTACCTGCTCCTTTTACAAAATTCACTTTCTATGTATCTTGTAGGCAGTTTAAGCCACTCATGTGGAGTCATGAAGTGCCTTGAACTAGAAATTCTTGGAAATCTGGAATGCAGTTGGGTCTTCTCGACCTCTTTAAATTCTTTCATTGTGTATATTTTGCCTGCAGGAATATTAGTAAGCTAAATTAGCTCTCTGGCTTGCAACCATTGCTCCAGGGATTTGAAATTAAGTAAGAATTAAGAACTGAGTACCAGTCTCACACTGAAGAAGAGTTCTTTTTTCATTATCCTTGTCATATTGTGCTTTTTTCAAAGGATCATGAAGTGGTGGAATGATAAGCTACAAGAAAAACACTTCTTTAGGACCAAGTTGCGGATCTAATTATTAAATGTGTATATATATACATATATACATTTATCTCCATTACATTACTCATTAAATACATTTAACACATTGCAAAGAGATGGTTCAACAAGGTGTTGTAGCCAAAGAAGCAAGATTAGTTACTGTTTCAAAGTACAGGTTCAGTCTTCAAAAATTCCTTTGCTGTTATCATATATTCCTACCTAAACTTAAAAATTCCATGCTCAAAAGAAAAAAATCTATATTCTCATCTTAATTAAGAAATTTTACTTTCAAAGAAGTTGTGAAGAAGGCTGCCTTTAAAATGATAAGAAAACATTAACTTGCTATCAAGAGATTAAAACAGTACTATTCTTTTCAGATGTATTGGCATGATCTATTCGTAGCCAAGTAGCAAACCCAATTTTAAACATGAGAAGTAAAACTGGGGCTGGTGGCACACACCCGCAATCACAGCGCTGGAGAGGCTGAGCAGGACTGCTACACGTTCAGGCCAGCCTGAGCTGCACAGTGAGTTCAAGGCACTGTTAAAACCTTTGGGGTTTAGCTCCATTCTGGGTACCAGAAGTCCCAGGGGTTAAGAGAAGGGCGCTGGGAAGATGACTTCATCACCAGCTGGAGGCAGGCTGAGAGCCAGGACCGGGCAGGAAGTGGGTCACTCAGAGCAGACGTGGAAGGGGCCTTATCTTGTGCCTGTCCCTTCCCGGGTCTCTGGCTCTCTCCGCTTTCTCTCTGCACTTCCTAGACACCATGGACTGCTCAGCTTTATTCCAGCACACCCTTTCACCATGGTTTCTGCCTTGGAGTCACTCACACGTGAACTGAAACCATCAACCAAAACTGAACCTTTTCTCTTGTAAGTTGTGGGTGTCAGTATTTTGTTCCAGCAAAGGAAAGCTAATGGATACACTATTCTTAAAATATTACCAAATTTTTAAGGAATGATTATATGACAAGTTACATGCTAGGGCTGCTCAAAAACAAAAACAAATGCATACTATCAGAATTAAAATAAGAAATCCACCTACCTTCAAGAAATTGGGGTCTTCTTTCCTCCTATAAAAAGGATCATATTCTTTGGGATCATAATGCTCTATAAAAATATTTCCCTAAAAAAGGAAATAAAAGTAAAAGATGCATATCAAGACTAAAAGTAAATTCACATTTTCATTGTTATGCTCCGAAATGGCATCAATGACAAACATAAAAGGAAGAAGACTAAATTTACAATTAAATTTGACTTATTCAAATGTATTATAGTGATGGAGAGACTCTACTTAATATTTGCAAGATTTTAATAAAGAGTACTGGAACACTAAAATATTTCACTTTCCTTTTTCAGCACTAGAGATTAAACCCAGTGTCTCACAAAAGCGCTCTACTACCAAGCTGTGTGCCGGCCTGGTAATGATTTTAAATGCTTACAAATATCTCTCATTGTTTAAAATGTCAGAACAGAAATAGCTTTTAAATCAAGTTTCTAAAAAGAAACTATGTCCAAGCCTGGAGTCTAAGTTAGGTGTGTGTGTGACTAAAGACTGAACAGAGTCTTCACAAAGTGCTACGTCCCCAGCCTTTTGTTATGTTTGTTTTTTTGAGACATGATCTCGCTATGCAGTTCAGGCTGGCTTGAGCTCACTGTGTAGTTCAAGCTGGTCTCGAACTTGCAACAACCCCCCTGCTTCAGCCTGAGTGCTGGGCTCACAGGCGTGCGCCACCAGGCCCGGCTCCCCAGCTCTTCTTAAATTTAGTTATTTTGAGACAGGGTCTCAGTAAGTCACTAAATTTCCCAGGCTGAGCTCAAACTTGAAATCCTCCTACCTCTAATTCCCAGAGTGCTGACTGGATGTGTGCTACCATACCCAGCTGAGTCCAAATTTTCTAATCAGTAAATAAAGTTGAAAATTTTATAAGGAAACTGGTTGTAAGGTAGAGCCTCCTCCTCCATCTTTTCTACTGCGTAGAATTGAAGATTACTACACCCCACAGCAGGTATAAAGTTCGCACACAGAGGGAGGAGCAGGAGGCTATTTGGGTCAACAAAGATACTCATAATTTTTTTTTTTTGGTACTGGGGATCGAACTCACAACTGCACGCTTGCCAGGCAAGCCCTTATGCTGCACAGCTAAATCCCTGGCCCAAAATTTATAATTCTTAAACTAACTAAAAGAAATATCAAATCATTTTATTACCTTTTTATTTACGTATTTTAAAAATCCATCTGATTCCTCTTGTCTTCTTTTCATAATCTTCTTACAGGAACAGACTTTTTCTACAATTCCCTTGCGGAGAGGGTCTGCCACAAGGTGAGCCCATCTTTTGTGTAACATTTCCTTTCTTCTTTTAGTCATGAAGTCATGACGTTCTAAGTGGCTATCTAGGTCCTAGGAAACAGCAACAGAAAAGACTCGTCTTATCCCAAAGCTTTCTTGTTCTATGATGTTCTTAGACATCCTAGGTTTAAGTTATTCCTAAGAACCACCCACATATGCATTCTTTAGTGTAATAATTTATTTGGTTTCTATTGTTTGACACACACTATGCTAGAAACAAGGAATACACAGATAACATGCCTGCTTTCCCTGGGTAGTGAACTGAGAAACAACTGTACAAAACAGTGGCAGGAGACAGTAAAGCAGAAAACATACACATACAGATATATATATATACATAAATGTGTATATAGGACATAATGTGCATGTAGTAACTGAAGACATAGGCGAGTAAAGCCTTTTTCTAGTCTTAAAGAACTCCTAGTTTGGGAGTTTTTCAGAGGTAAACAGTTACTACAGAACCCAGCAATTTCATGCCTCAGGTATACACCCAAAAGAATTAAGACCAAAGACTCAAATAAGTATTTATACGTCCATGTTTATTGTTGAATTCGCAAGAGCCAGAAGATAAGAGACAACCCATGTCTATCAACAAATAAGTACAAAATTTCAGTCTGGGTTTTGGAAATAGATAATGGTGATGGTTTTGAAAGATTGGTGAATGAAATTAAAACACCAAATAGTTGGCCAGGCGTGGTGGCATATGTGTAACCCTAGCACTTGGGAGGCTGAGGCAGGAGTATCACCATGAGTTAGAGGCTAGTCTAGACTACACGATACTGCCTCAAGAAACCAAAAACAGGCTAGGAATATAGATAAGCAGCGCTGTGCCTGCCTGGCAAGTGTGAGGTTGTGAGTTCAATTCCCGGGACCCAAAAAACAAACAAACAACAACAAAACACTGAGCTGTACACTTAAAATGGTTAGAAATAGCTCAGCACAGGCACATACTGATAATCCCAGCTACTTGGGAGGCTGAGAAAGATCACATGTTCAAGACCAGTTTAAGCAACTTAATGAGACTCTCCTCAAGATAAAAAATAAAAGGACTAGGGATGTAGCTGAGTAGAGTGCCCCTGGGTTTAAGCCCCAGTACTGAGAGAAAATAAAAAGTTTATGTGGCACACAACAGGCGACACCAGCCCTCCAGGCCAGACCCATACCTGTCAATGGCCTGTCAGGAACCAGGCTGCGCAGGTGAGAAATGGGTCAGCCAGCTGAGTGTTACCTGTATTTATAGTGGCTCCTCATCACTGAATCATTTATTGCCTGAGCTCTACATCCTAGCAGATCAGCATCAGACTCACAAGTCCTACAGTGAATGTCACCTGGGAGGGATGCTCTTTACGAGAGCTAATGTCTGGTGATCTGAGGAAGTCCTGCTAGCCCTGGTGAATGCCATTATTACATATTCCACACAAACACTAAAACTCTAAATTCTAAAAAAGAATTTAAAGTTAATTCTAAAAAGAATTTTAAAATTTAATTCTAAAAAAGAAACTAAAAACATTTAAATGGAAATGTTTAAACCCTCCACCCCCGACACGCAATTCCCAGTCTGTGGAAAAACTGTCTTCTGTGAAAACCAGACCCTCGTGCCAAAAAGGTTAGGGACCGCTGGTAGAGTACATGTTTTACCACAATGAATTAAATGATTTGATTTAGAAAACTGTCAAATTGGAAGCATTTTGGCTGGGCCTTAAAGAATGAAGAGTCAATCAGGGAGAAAGGGAACTGCATCCTTCTGCATACCATTCTTCGGTCTACCTAACCAATAACCTGCCAGGTATTCTGATCACACAGCTTAATGATCGATTCATTCATATGTCAGCAGAAACCCCACTTGAATCAAAGACCAAGTGAGTCAAATACCGTTATGCTGTATCTGTAGAAGGAATTCTTCCAATATGTAGAAAAAGAAGTCTATCAAACACTCTCACAGATCCCTTAATGTTAATCCAAGGTACTAGTGAGTGTTTTTAATTCTATAGGGTTTTGAATTTTATAGGGTATACTATGTTGAAAGTTTTAAAACAGAATTTAATGTTTTGAGATACATTTGTAGCCAGCTCTTACCTTAATTACATGGTCTTCTCTATGTAGTATTAATTGAATAGCTGCATCTATATCTTCTTTAGCTAAGGCCTAAAAGGACACAATTAAACTTTGAAAATCAGATTCTAAAAAAATTATTAGTATTATCTGAACTCATTATACTTTATGTAACAGATATAAACCAGAAAAGTTCTCTGGAATTTTTCTATTTCTTTAATTCTGCCTCAAAAGAAAAAAAAAAGGAACATAAATGTTCATAGTCAATATAGAGGAGGAACTTAGGGGGAAAGTGCCCACAAAGCAAGTGAGGCCCTGGGTTCCTGGGTTCCTGGGTTCCACTTCAGCAACTGGGGAGAGGAAGGATGGGGGAGAGAGCGGGTGGGCAGTGTTCATGGTAGCAAAAAACAAAGAAAAATGTTCATCCACTGATGAATGAACAAAATGTAATTATCTATACAGTGGAACAGTATTTGACCCTAAAAAACAATGAAGTACTGATTCACATCTCTTAGAATGCCTCGAATTAAAGGGACTATACAAAAAAATTTTAAGACCATACTAAACATTGGCTAGAATATAACATTAAAACAACTGTTAACTTTTAGGCACTGTTACTAGGAATGTAAAATATTACAATCTAATTACTTTGGAAAAGTTTGGCAGCTTAATAAAAAAAAACTAATTCCATTTACCATATGACCCCATTATTTCACCTAGGTATCTACCCAAGAAAAGTGAAGTGTATGTCCATCCAAATGACACGTAGTATCCCTAACAGCTTTATTTACAACAACCCAAAACTGCAAACAACCCAAATGTCCATCAATAGGATGGACAAATTGGAATATACTCTTAGAATAAAATAACAATCAGCTAAAGAAGAATGAACTATTAATACACACAACATGGATGAAATGCATAATAATTATGAGGAACAAAACCAGAGCACAAAAAATTGCATACTTTTGCACTTGCAAAATTTCAATGCAAACTAAGCTACAGTGATGAAAAAGAAGTGGTTTCAGGAGATAAAGAGGATGCAAAGAGACATGAGGGTCATATATGTTCATTATCTTTATTGGGACAATGGTTTCATGTATGTACGCATGTCAAAACTTATCAACTTATACACTATATGCAGTTTATCTATGTCAATTGTAACCTAATAAAGCTGTTTAGAAAAAAGAATTACAATACAGCAAATCAAAATCTGAGCAGTGCAGCTGAAGTGGTGCTTCAAGAGAAACTGTTTGCTTTATATTTAAAATGTAACATATAGATATATAAACAACCACTTATGATTCCACCCTAGGAAACTAAAAAGTGAACAGCCAAGTAAATTAGTAACAGGAATAAAGAGAAACAGAAATTACAGGAAAAAGTAAAGAGATAGCTTGGGCTTCTTGCTGAGCTGGGCAAGGTGGCACACGCCTGTAATGCCAGCATTTGGGAGGCTGAGGCAGGAGGACTGCCATGAGTTAGAAGCCAGCCTGGGCTACAAAGTGAGTCACGGCCAGCCTTAACTCCATAGTAAGACCTGTCTCAAAAAAATTTTTAGAAACAATTTAAAAAAAAAAAAAAAACAGGCTTCTCAGCCGGGTGTGGTGCCTCACGCCTGCAATCCCAGCACTCGGGAGGCTGAGGCAGGAGGACTGTTGTGAGCTGGAGACCAGCCTGGGCTACAAAGTGAGCACAAGGCCTGCCCGAACTGCAGAGACCCTGTCTCAAAAAGATTTAAAAAAAAACAAAAAAACACAAGCTTCTCGCTTAAGTTACCCACGTAAGATCCTTAAAATGCCAGTGGTACCTCTATAAAAGAAAGTGACGGTGGCTCCAACCATGCTCTTGCGCTCTTGAGCCTGGGAAGGGTGCCAGTTACCAGATCGTCATTGTCTTTCATTGTTTTTTATTGTGGTCACAAGTAACAAGAGCCCTAGAAAAACTAAAGATTAGTAATGAAAATTAGTAATGAAATTCACAATCATCGTATTTCCTTTCCTGCTTGATAACCAACGCTGGTGAACCTGCACGGATGTGCTGGGCGAACCCCAGCAGTCACGCTACCCATCAGAAGCCTTCCCCACGGCTCGGGAGGGAGTCCCCACCCCGTCGCCTGGACCCGGGGCCTTCTCCCAACGAGTCCCCGGGGTCCACTCCTCCACGGGCGCTACGCCGAGCCAGCTAACTCCGGAAGCCGAGCGGGGACGCTGCAACTTCGAGGCCCCTGAGACACAGGCTCAGGGCTCCGAAGCAAGGCTGCGGCAAAACGTGGGGGAGCGGCCGCTCCGGGCGCCCCGCATCCCTCCCCGATGCCCAGGCCTTCACCGAGCAGGGCGCGGGTCGCCGCGGCCCGGCCCTCGGCTCGGTGCCCGGGAAGAGGGTCTCTGGTTCTCCAGGCCACGCCGCGCCCCGGTGGGTCCTGCCACCACGCCCGACACGCCGGGCCTCAGCACGAGCCCGCGACCTCGGAACGCGCACGGTCTCTCGGACGCAGCCCTGCGGCCACGCCCCCGCCGGCACTGGAGACCTCGCTGAGGCAGCCAGAGACCGCGCCTGCGCACTAGGGCCGCTCGCAGCCAAGGCCTCGCTCCTCGGTGACAGGCAGCTGTCACGACCAATCAGAACGCCTCCGCTCCCGCCCTGTGTCCCGCCCCCTGGGAGCGCAGGTTTTGGAATCCGCGGAGGGGCGGTGTTGGCGGCCCGGAGGCTCGGGCGTCGTTGGGCGGCTTCCCCGCTGGGGCGGCCGGGAAGCGACCTGCTCCGCCTTCAGTCGAGCTGCGGGTCCCCTACCCCCAGTCCTGTGGCGCGGCGTGTGCCCCGTTGCGCCTCTGCCGGGGACGCGCGAGCGTTGGTGGTGGTTGGCCTGAGGACGAGCCTAGATAACGGGACTTGGCGGGAATGTTGGCTTAAATCCTTGAGGGCGTCCTCGTCCCCTGGGTGCTGGACCGTGGCCATCGAGGGCGCTGCTGCGGGTCAGCGGGAAGGGCGGGACTCACGAACAGCGTGTCTCCTTGAGCTCGAGGTCTCCATCCTGCCTGGTCTGCGGTTATTTTGGTGGGTTGGTTTTTAAAATCCCAGGTAATCCTGGTGGAAGCTGTTGACATAGCTGGGATATTAAGGCAGGTTTTTCCACCCAGCTTCGTAACCCACTCTGTGAACTAATTCTACTTTGATTGTATTTTTTTTTTAGCATTGGTGGACACTAGACGATGGGCCACCATGTCCTCTCCATCATTTCAAAGGACACCCGCTAACATGAAAACTGGAGTGTTTGGGGGGACATGTGTATTCTGCTTTTAAGAGGTAACCAGAGTGGATTCCTTCAACCACAGTTCCGGTTTCAGAGCAGGAGGAGCATGAGCCAATTGCACAACTTGCTGTTGGATTCCCTTCTGGGGACCAAGCACATAGACAGTGCGGCTCTCATCAAACTCCAGGAGAAGAGCCTGTGTGTCACCTCACCAGGATTCAATGTAAGAAAAAACAAGTTCCGGCATAAGACCTTTAAACAGAATTTTCCTTTAAAACATTGTGGAAGCTGGGCACAGTGGTGCACACTTGTGATCCCAGCACCATGGGATTCTAAGGCAGGAGGAACACTGCAAGTTTTAGGTTTGAGCCCAGCCTGCACTACAAAGTGAGACCCTGTCTAAAGAAAAAAAAAGGTGTTAGTAGAGCAAACCTATTTTGTCTATATGTATATTGTTTACGGCTGCTTTTTCATTTATTAAAAAACTATGCAGAGGGGGCTGGGGATTTAGCTCAGTGGCATAAGCGCCTGCCTTGCAAACAGGTAGTTGCGAGTTCGAACCCTGGTACCGATAAAAAAGAAAAAGACACACACACACAAAAAAAAACTATGCAGAGTAGAAAGATGGTGTTGCCCAGAAACATAAAAAAATAAAATTCACCATAGTTTTTTTCTGGTTGAGACAGGGTTTCACTGTGTACTTTGGGCTGGCCTTGAACTCACTGTGTAGCCCAGGAAAGCCTCAAATTTCCAGCGATCCTCGTGCCTCAGCCTCCTGAGTGCTGAGATTACAGGTATGCAGCCACTACATCAGTTTAACATTTTTTAAAATGAATGTTGAAATTTGAATTTCATATGATAGTCACGTGCCATAAGGTGATGGTCTTTTTATTTTTCTCATTCATTTAAGAATGTGAAAATCATTCCCGACTTTCAGGCCGGGAAAAAAAAGGCGGCTGGCCAAATTTGGCTAGCCAGCAATTAGACAAAACAAAAAAATCAAAGAACTAAAGATAGGAAAGGGAAAAAGTAAATTATCATTATTCATGAATGATATGGTGCTCTACGTAGAAGACCCCAAAAAGTCCACCAAAAGATTTCTAGATTTAGTAAGCAAATTTAGGAGCATAGCTGAATACAAAGTCATCACTCAAAAATCGATAGCCTTTCTGTACACCAATAACAAACTCACTGAGATAAATTAGGGAAATGACACCTTTCATAATAGCATTCAAACAATGAAATAACTATGAGGGAAAAGAGCTCTGCATTGAGGGCTGAATGTGGTGGTGCACACTTGTAATCTCAGCATTCGGGAGACTGAGGCAGGAGGATTGCTGTAAATTTGAGGCCAGCCTGGGATACACAGTGAGTTCAAGGTCAGCCTCACTACATAATAAGACCCTGTCACAAAAAGACCAAAACAAACAAACAAACAAAACTATAGTATTCTGAAAAAGGAGATTGAAGAGGATAACAGAAAGGGAAAGATAGCTCTTGCTCTTGGATAGGGAGAACCAATATAGTGAAAATGGTGGGGCTGGAGATTTAGCTCAGCGGCATAAGCGCCTGCCCTGCAAGCAGGCAGTCGTGAGTTCGATCCCTGGTACTGATAAAAAGGAAAAAAACAAACAAAAAAAATGGCTATACTTCCAAAACTGTTATAACAGATTTAATGCAGTTCTTTTGTTGTTGTTGTTTTCTTTTTGTTTTTTTATCGGTACCGGGGATGGAACTGACGACCGCCTGCTTGCAAGGCAGGTGCTTATGCTGCTGAGCTAAATCCCCAGCCCCTTAATGCAGTTCTAATCAAAAGTCCAATTGCGGGCTGGGGATTTAGATCAGCAGCATAAACGCCTGCCTTGCAAGCAGGCAGTCATGAGTTCGATCCCTGGTACCGATAAAAAAAGAAAAAGACAAAAAATAATAATAATAATCAAAAGTCCAATTGCATATCTCTTAGAATCAGAGAAAACAATGCCAAAATTCATTTGGAACCAGAAGAGATCTAAAATAGTAAAGATAATGCTGGGCAACAAAGACAAGGCAAGGGACATCACAATCCCTGATTTGGAATTGTACTATAAAGATACTGTGGCAAAAAAACAGCGTGGTACTGGCAAAACAAAACAAAACAGACCCAAGGATCTATGGAACATATTAGAAGATGCAGAAACAACTCCAGACACACTCAGTCATCTTACCTTTGACAAAGATGCAAAACACATCCACTGGAAGAAAGATTTACTAAATGGTGCTGGAAAAACTGGCTTTGCACTGCTGAAGATTAAAATATTTCACTGTGCACTAAAGTCGAAATGGAGTGAAGATCTGAATATTAAAACAGGCTGGGGATTTAGCTCAGCGGCATAAGTGCCTGCTTTGCAAGTGCATGGTCTTGGTTCGATCCCTGGTATCAATAAAAAATACATATATATTAAAACAGAAACATTAAATATGCAGGAAGACAGAATAGGTAAAACTCTTGAAGACATTGGTGTAAACAAGAACTTTATGAATAAAACCCTCATTGGACAGGAACTATCACAAAGAACAGCTAGGTCTCATTAAAAAGCTTTTGCACAGCAAAAGAAACCACAGACAGAATAGAGAATCCACAATGTGGAAAAAATGTTTGCCAGCTATTCTTCAGACTAACTACTACTACGATGAAGAAGGACAATATATGAAACAAAGCAAATAAGTATGTGAAAAAATATTCAATGTCACTGGTCATTCAAAAGATACAAATTAAAACAACACTGGATTCCTACAAACAATAGCTAGTATCAACAACTCAACCAATAACAAATGGTCGTGGGAATGTGGGGAAATAGGAGCCCTTCTCCACTGCTGGGGGGATGTGGACTGGTACAATCACTGGGGAAATCAGTGTAGAGATTCCTCAAAAAACGGACTAGACATTTGGCCCAGCCATTCCTCTTATGGATGCCTTCCCAACAGAATTGAAAGCGTCATACCACAGTTATAATAGCTAACTCTTGAAAACAACCCAAGTGCCCCTCAGCTGGTGATATGCTCAAGACATTTCTAGGAAAATGGATCACCTTGAGTCCATATTCTTTAAGTGAAATAAATCAGATATGTGTAAATACTGCATTGTTTTTCTAGTATGAGAAACTGAAAGTGTAAATAAGAACCAAAAAATGTATGGTAGGTATCATGAAATAGGAAGAAAATGTTCAAATGGGGAGAAGAACAAGAGAGAGGCTAGAGGAAAAGGAAAAGTAGAAAAGAAATATGGAAAGAAAGCTTTGTATGTGGGGTTGGGAGGAGGGGGAGAAACAAGTTATATCATGTACAGGTACAAAGTCTATGATGAATGTGACCATTATGTATATCTAAAATGTACCAATAAGATCTGATTAAAAATCAAATTTGACTGTTCGCTGCCCATCAGTTACTGATTTGTGGCCTGTGTAACCTCTGTAGATAATGCCAAGTGACATCCAAACACTTGTGAATGGATTTGCCAAAAACCCTCTGCAAACCCGAAGAGAGGGACTGTATTTCAAGGAAAAGGACTACAAATGTGTCCGGGCCGATGACTATTCCCTTTATGCTAAGAATGTGAGTGGTCAGCCTTGGGAGACAGCTGGGTAATATTGTTAAGGATTTTGCCATCTATTTTCTTTGTCCCTTCTGGTCCTCTCATAAGACAGATTAAACTCACTACTGCCTCAAGGCACCGAAATAGCATTCCAGTGCCAGAAAGGCATATGTGAAAGAAAGTACTGTGGCAAGGCCTGGTTCTGACAGATTTTCATTGCAGAATCAATCAACTGAGCCTTGCTGGAACTATCTTTTCCAGTACAACCCATCTTTCATAATCTACTTTCTGCTCCTTAAAAAAAAAGATTGGAATATTCAGTGTAGGTTGTGTATTCTTTATCAGACATGTTTGGGACCACGTGTGTTTTGGATTTTGGAATATTTGCATATACTTGTACATAATTAGATATTTGGGGAATGGGGTCTAAGCATAATCACCAAATTCACATTTCATATACACTTTATGGATATAGCCCAAAGATAGTTTTATACAATATTTTTAGTGTGCCTGCATTTTTAGTGTGGGTGATCTCAAAATATTTTGGATTTTGGAGTAGATCAGGGTTTTTTTTTAAATTAAGGATGCTTAGTGTATCATTCCTATGTTCAAAACTGTCTCCTGGTTCTCTATCACATGTAAAGAATTGGACAGTTTGTATTATGTGTTAAGCATACTTCACCTTACAAATTTAATACCTCATTTCACTGTTGAGGAAAGTAACATGGTTAAATAACTCAGTGGAATATAAAAGTTTTAGAATTCAGGCTCAGAGCTGTCCAATTCCAAGAGATATAACCTTCACATTACATCAGTTCTTCTAGGATAGAGCATATTACAATCATTTGAAAGTTTTTTTCACAGCATGCATGCTGTTATTCCAACAGTCTGAGCCATTTTTAGGGAAGACAAGAAGTCAAGGAATGGTAAATGTGGCTGGAATGTAACCGTTGGTCCTGTTAGGACCGAGAGCAGGGCATTCTGGTTTTGTTTTGTTTTTTTTTTTTTTTGTCTTTTTCCTTTTTATCGGTGCCGGGGATCGAACTCACGACTGCCTGCTTGCAAGGCAGGCGCTTATGCCGCTGAGCTAAATCCCCAGCCCAGGGCATTCTGTTTTCTTCATCCAGGGGAACACTGGTGTGGTCGTCGTGAAAACTCGTCTGCATCTTCTGGTGGCCACTTACGTGGCAGGCATGTACCCTAGCATCTGTGTGGAAGCCACAGAGAAGCTGGGTAAGTTTGCTTCCGATGTCTGTCTTTGTGCCCTGCCTTGGTCAGGTTTTCAGACGGCAAGTGACAGAAATTCGACTCAAACCAGCTAGGAGAAGCGTGTAGACCACCTTCTTGGGTGAGCGGTCACTGGAGAAACACAATGTAAAGTAGAAAAGTGTACTGTGGGAAAAAAAAAAAAAAAAAGATTACAGGGGCTGGGGATTTAGCTCAGTGGCATAAGCAAGCAGGCGGTCGTGAGTTCGATCCTTGGTACCGATAAAACGAAGAAAAAAAAAACTAAAAAAAAAAAAAAAAAAAAAAAGAAAGAAAAGTGTAGTGTGGCTCACAGTGTCAGAGGTTTCAGTCTGGCTGGCTATTCCAAGGCAGAAACATCATGGCGGGACATGCAGAAGGCAGAAGAGAGCTGCCTGCTTCAGGCAGCCACGAAGCAGAGCAGGAAAGAGCGTGTGCCCGCAGGCTTTCCCCTTCCTCTAGTTTTGTTTCATCTGGTCCTCCTCCTGTAAGATGGTGCCACCCACATTTAGTGAGGGTCTTAGTTTGCCAGTTATTTCTGAGGACACAGCCAGAAGGGTGATTATTTGCCTGTCTCTGTCTCTGTCTCTGTCTCTGTCTCTGTCTCTGTCTCGCACTCTCTGTCTCATTCAGTCTCTCTTTCTCTCCCACTCTCTCTCCCTCCCGTCTCCTCTGTTTTTTTGTTTTCTGAGGCAGTCTCACCATGCAATCCAGGCTAGTCTCAACCTCTCAATCCTCCTACCTGAGCCTCCCGAGTACTGAGTGTTTCTTGATTAAATCAAGTTGACAATCGAGAATAATGATCCCAAGGAGAAAGGAGGGCTTCACTGGAAGGGAATTGGGGTTTACATAACCATGGGAAGGACAGGATTCAGCTCAAGGTGCAAGGTACAGCAGATGCCAGGCATGGGAGCACTGCCAGCGCTGTCTGGTTGCTGCTTTTCGGTGGATTAACGTTATCCGACTGCAAATCACTTCCTTTCCAAGCCTCCATCCTCCTGTACCCTTAATTTCTCCTAGGACCCTAACTTGCCGATCCTTGGGTGATAGGGTCAGCTGTGCAAGCGGGGTGGGTTAAGGGAACAGGGAAGACGCAGACTCCAAGGTGGGGCTGGAACTCTAGAGGATCACAGCCAGGGAAGAGTCTCCGGAGGCCTGCCATGCCTCTGCACGCGCCATGCTGTCTGCCTGAAGAATTTTACCCTTCCATCCCTGTCCCTTCATGTCTAGTTGGCAAATTCCTAGTCTTTGAAGGCCCAACTGAGACTTTGCGCGACAGTCACTGAGCTACATATGTATTTCATTATTGTCCCCTTCAAGCTGTCTGCTCACCTGGACTGTGATCCTTAGCAGGCTAATATTTTGACTTAATTATTCTATCTCTTAATAACTAATGACACCTAGTGTTGAATAATTAATAGATGTGTGATGAACAGGTAGCGAACAACTTCTGCCTCACAATGGCGAAGGCTCTGGAGAGCTCAGCCTTAGGTGCCTGAAGGATTAAGTCTGTCCCAGAGGATAACGCTTCTAACTGCCGAGGACCCTTTCTAAACGGGTGTCAGGATTTAACAGAGGTTCCATGTGCAATAGGAATAGAACAGAGATGTATAGATCTGAGATAATTATCTAATTAAATAGTCCAGAAAAGGAGGCTGGGAAATGGGCACCAGGGTGTCAAGAATCAGGACTCTGTCCTGTCAGCCAAGGGCCAAGACAATTTTCCAGAGGTCAGAAAACCTGCCTGACCACTGCGTGTAGACTGTGACTGGCATCCTTTTTGACAGCTTTCTTTTCTTTCTTTTTTTAAATTTTTATTTTTGTTTAAGATCACGAAAGATTCCAAAGATGACACAGGTGGCATCATACTATTAAGATGTCTGAAATCAGGGTTGGAGATTTAGCTCAGTGGTTCAAGCTTTTGCTTGGTAAGCACAAGATCGTGAATTTGATCCCTGGTACCAAAAAAAAAAAAAAAATCTCTGAAATCTGTCTTGGAGGTAGCTAAATGTTGATAAGGGATGGACCAGGCTGATTTCTACCACCAGGAATCAGTTATTTGATTATTTATTCCTGCTACCTTTATTTACTTTCCTTTTAAATGTGTTTCCTTTTATATACATATGATTTCTTGAGACAGTGTCTTGCTATGTAATTCAAGCTCTCCTTGAACTCACCATGCAGCCCATGCTGGCCTCGAACTCATGACAGTTCTCCTGCCTCAGCCTCCTGAGTGCTGGATTTACAGGCATGTGCCACCATGTGCAGCTGCTTAACTATATGTTTATCAAAAATGAATATGTGATCACTGTAGAAATTTTGAGAATTATGACCATGTAAACTTTTTGTTTTAGATGAGTCTAACAACATGACTAGTTATTAATTAATGAAAATCATTAAACAGTAAATATGTAAATGATGCTATGCTGCTTCTCTAACAAATTAATTGGATTTGTTTTTAAAACAAATACATATTAGTGAGTCACATGATGTTGTGATAATGTTAAATTCTAGATCCTAAGTTTAAAAAAAAGAAAAATGTAAGCATTTTTTGTGACTTATTTTTACATTGTCATGAAATTATTGAAGAACTACAGTTTTTTCTTAAATTTCCTGTGGCCACTCCACAAATTAAAGTTGGGAGAGATTTAACTCTCTGGAAAGCCAAGCACAGTTCCTGGTTTCTTCCTTTAAGAGTTGCTGTGCCGCGTCAGCACTATGCTAAAGAACTGGGCTCTCTCTGTGTTTGAGAGCTGCTTCGTGGCTCTGACATTTTGTTTATTCCCATGAGAATTTCATCTGGGACCTTATGACCAAGTGTGTAACACAGACCAATGGGGAAATGTGATTCATGCAACAGAGTGTCTTGCAGTTAACTTTTAAGTAAGTTAACTTTTTAGGAATCTACTTCTGCTACGATTGCCATCTGTCATGATTGCAGTAAAGGAAGACAAATTAAGTAATATTCAACAGTCAATTTTAGAAAAGAGGAGAATTTTTGACAAAGGAAGTTATCAGCTTTCAAAGTTCTCTCAGCTTGTTAACAAGCGGGGTGCTATAATCCGATGTAAACCCAGGCCTTGGGATGCACACGGGGGAGAAGGGAAGCAGGAGCTTTTGTTCCCTGAGGAGCTGTTCTCCTCCTTCTTCCTTAACTGTCCATGTGCTCCTTCACTCAACCCAAGAACATCCTCTAGAACTGCTCAAATACTTTGTTTTTCCTGCACAGGGATTGAATCCGGGGTCTTTGCACCAAACTATATTCTCAGCCTTTTTTTGTTTGCTTTGGTTTTTTTAAAACAGCATCTCAATAAGTTGCCAAATTATGCAGGCAGAATGTGAATTTCGATCCTCATGCCTCAGCCTCCCAGAGTTCCATGATTGCCAGCAAGTACCACCACGCTAGTGTTGTATCCCAAAAAGGCCCCTGAGATGAAAAATGGGGCAAGACAACATCATTTTTTAAAGAAGCACTTTTATTTTAGCTGGCACCAGCGACAGAGTGCAGATGAAATTTGCAAAGCTGTGCAACTGAGTTTTGACAGATTTTTATAGCACATTAACTGAGTGACGTGACAGAGCAGAAATTAGGAAGGCCTTTGTTTACCTTTGCTTCAGGTCAGAGACCTTTCGAAGTTGGTGGTTAGCCCTTTTTTCCCCTTGAGTTACAGCCCTTGGTCTGCTAATTCCAGGAACATTTGTTTCTCACAAAGTGAACAGAGGTTGACACAGCCTCATTTGTCTCTCACAAAGGGAACAATGGTTGACACAACAAACAGGTTACTAAGGTGATGACACATACAGAACAGTATGGTGACTCCTCAGTTAATTTATAACTAATTTATAACAATGTGGTCGGTGCTCCAGGTACATGGTTACTAGGGTGATTAGCATAGAGCATGACAGCTAGGATTCAGATACCTCATGTGTGGCATTTATTGCTGTGAAATATAACTGATGTTTGTATATAGATGTGTCCCGTACTACATAACTCCACAAGGGCAGGGACTCAACTACCCACATCTCAACTACCCAGTCATCCTTGGGCCTCCTGTACCTATCACATAGTTAGTCACCAAACACTGCTTGTAGAATAATGAATGAATGAACGAATGAATGGATTACATTGTAAGATGATGTACTACTCATAAGTAATAACCATGTTGTGCTTTCTTATAGGAGAATATCTAAGAAAAAAAGGAAATTAAGTCATCAGAGGAATATGAAAGACATTATTGTAGAAGAAAACTATAGGTCCTATAGAAAAAGATACCTTATTTTGTAAAACACTAGGCAGAAAATATTAATAAAGAAGACTGAGCCGAGAGAGAGAAACTTTTCCTGTTTCAAGCTGTATCATCTTCTGTAATCAGAATTAGTTGATTGGCTTTTTGTTTTAAGCATCAGTCACTGGCAAGCAAGGTGAGAGCAATGAGACTGGAACTCTTTTTGAGTCTCACCTCCCTGAGGTTTTTATCCTGCTCACCTTGTTAGGTGCTCCAGGGATGCAAGGCCCCGGGTACTCTATCCAGGCCAAGCCTCAGGGCTTTAAGAATGAAGTAGCCTTCCTCCAGGGCACACAGCAAACTTGCTTCCTGCTTGCAATGAGAGGTGGAGTCCCTGAGCTCAGTGTCCCTCCCGTCATCCAGGTCGTGGTGTGTACTTCATCTGGTCCACAGTGCCCATGTCAGACCTAGGAGAACAAGAACCATAGCAAAGACCACCCAGCACTGGGCCACCAGGCAGGGTGTTGGATGGACATCACACATTCATTCCATCTCTAGGTGTTAGCCACTGTCAGTCAGGGTAAAGGCTTCTCGAAAATCAGAAGGATTTCTGTCTCTACGTCCCTGGGGCCTCCTGGTTCACATAGCCCAGTAAAACACAATGATCTCTACATGTGTCCTTCCCAGAAAAGGTCCACCTTCTCTTGGTCACTTCCTAGGTGATGATCAGGACAATAAGGTACTGAGCCCTAGAACCTATTTAAACTCTGGGATTCCACCCTGGCCATTTCTAGACACGACTCAGCTTTCTTTCCCCTGTGACAAGCCCTGGCCAGTCACGTGGGCACGGTCCTCTGCAGGGGATGGCTAGACCACTGGCCAAGGGGGAGCCTCGGGAATCCCAGCTTCACTCTGCTTAGGCCAGCCCGGAGCGGCATGGTCGGTCCTACATCAGAAAGGCAACCCTGCTCTGCAGGTCCCTCTGCATGAATGCACTCTGGGTCAGTGGGGGACCCTTCTGTACAAAATATCAGGGTGCAAGTAGGGTGTAATTGAGGAAACATATAGTCATGGTGATACAGGGGGATGAAACTTTGAACCTACTGTGTCCGGTACGAGTTCGTGTTCTCTAAAATCGAAGAATGAATTTTAGGAACAACGGAGGTTAAGAGTAGAATATATTTATTGAGAGAGAGAAAGCTTCTGAGAGAGACAGAAGGGGTCCCGAGTGGGCTGCCAAACTTGTATTTCCCACGGGCTTTTATAGAGTAAAATCATGGGTGAGATGGGTTCAAGGTGGGGAGAACTGGAAACTCACAAGGCAGAAGGGCATAAGGGGGGACAGAACTATGGTTAACCAATAAGATTAATAGGTCAGGTAAAATTGATTAAATTGGGGACAAATGGGGAAGCGAGTCCATAGAAAGTGGGCATTGTTAGCAGTGACTCCTCCCTAGGGGGTTGGCAGGGTGACTCCTGGCTTCCTCAAGGTAATAGGGAACCATTTAGAATATCAATTGTTAGGATATGTGTGCTTTTGTCTTGAGGCCTGGCCCATAGCAGGACGTGTCTGTCTCCCCCATAGTTGCAAGGCGTCTGGGCTTCTGCACTGGCTCCTTTGAGGACCTAGCCCTGTCTCTCTGCCTATAATATTTCTAACTGACTCAGCTGCCTGCAACAATGGCAGCTGGGATGGGCCCTGCCAATTGCATGACACAGGGACCTGGCACCTGGGGAGGGGACACCTCAGAGCACAGGAGACGGGGTGCAGGGTTCTCCTGAATGCCCTTTTGTCCCCCAGATTCTGCACCTCAACGTGGCAGAGTCATGTGGTCTGAGTTGCTAGCTCTGGTAAATAGAACAAAACCCAATCTTAGACCCTCAGGAGTTCTTGGCATTGCCAGGCTGCAAGGCACAGTGCTCTGAATTTGCAAGTCACTGCCCTGCAGCAAAGTGCCTTGTTAATGTCTGTAAAATTGTACAGTCTTCACGTTTGTGTAACAGCCTTCCAGAGAGCTCCTCCAACATTATCCCTGTTCTGGTTATGAGAGCTAACGAACCCCCAGGTTTTCCTTGGTGGTCAGTCTTACCATTAGCTACCATTTATTCTAGCAGAGAATAAGCAAGAAATTCAAAATTCACTTACTTACTATGCGTTGGTTAGACTACCTTGGGCTAAGTAGCAGTGACATACAAATAAATAATACATCCATCCACTCCACCCCTTACAGGGTCGTGATCCAGTGGGAAATGCAAACCTGTAAGCAGGTCACATCACCAAGGATAAACACTGTAGCAGGCATAAAACAAAGAACTTCACACAGCCAGGTGTGGTGGCGCACACCTGTAATCCTTGTATTTGGGAGGTTGAGGCAGGAGGATCACTGTGAGTTCAAGGCCAGCCTCGGCTTCATAGCCAGACTGTGTCTCAAAAAACACAAAAGCAGGGAGGAATTGAAGGGAGGGTAGGGAAATGGGGGGAAAAAGAATCGATATATCACATAGGTAGAAAGTCCCTATGGTGAATGTGATGATCATTACCTAAAACGTACCAGTAAACAAAAAACAAAATGACCTCCCCCCCTCCCAAGACACACACTTCAGAGAACAGAGCCTGGCGTGGCTAACTGCCTTCAGGAATCTAAAATGGTAATAGAAGTGAATTTGGAAGAATAAATACGGAAGACAAGAGTATTTCCTGTTGAAAGAACGGCATATGCAAAGGCACAGAGCCACGGAAAGCCCTGCGTGTGTAAAGACTGGTGAGAAGCTGGCCGGGGCTGGGAGGACTGCTGGAGAGTAACATGGGAAATGAAGACAGGCAGGGCCGAAATGGAAAAGGCCAGCTGGTCTTTTCCCACACACATAATGTGGTCTGTTGCTGGTTCGCAGAACTAGGAATTGAACTCGCGGCCTCGCAGTGAGCTGCCTCCCTCACCCTTTAACACCTGTTTTTTTGAGACCAGGCCTTTTAAACTCCCAGGTTGCTGTGGGACTCACAATCCTGGTGCTTCCGCCTCCTGAGTAACTGAGTTTACAGTTGGAGCCCCTGCACCCCGCTGTCTCAGCCTTACCTATGTCTTCAGTGCACACAGTTGACCCACTGTGTTCGTGTACCACAACCCTATGGGACTTTTTTTGCAGGAGTGGGAGGGACTGGAGAAACAGTAACAGGGTGCTGAGGAAATGGGGGATACACCATGTTCAGGATAGAATCTGGGCACAGCAAGAGCCTTCCCTGTGACTGGAGGGTTGCGACTTTAGGTCTCACTCCTGGCCTCTGGGAGGGAAGAGACAGGAGGGTTCGAGGTGGTCATGTAGAACAGCTCTCCACTGCCACGGGGCAGAGAGCTGGGGAGGGGGGACACACTGAGGTGCTGGGAGGTCACGCTTTGGAGATGGCACGGAAGCTCCACGCTCCTCCCCACAACCGCAGGCCCCACGGGTCACTTCCTGAGCAGTATTCTTTATAATAAACATGGAACAGGAGCTGGGGGTGTGGCACACACCTGCACTCAGGAGACTGAGGCGGGAGGATTTCTGCAAATCAGTCCAGCCTGGGCTGTCTAGTGAGTTCAAGGCCAGTCTGGAATACATGGGCTAGACTGTATCTTAAAAATGTTGTAATAACAACAATAGGAATGCGAATTTGGTTTGGCTGATTAACAATGAGGATTGGCTTTGCCAATAATGTCACAGATGTTTTTCATAAATTATGTCTGCAGTGCTGTTACCGAAAAATATATAAAGCCTGTGATAAGGCAAACAGAATAAAAAATATTATTTCAGCAAAAATGTATTGGAGTTAACAGTTTTACTTTCTGAATCCTTCCTGACATTAAACCCTTCTTTTAAATAAGGTGCCTCTAAGTGAAAAAAATAACAGAGGTAATTAAGAATCATTTGAAAAGTTTTCAAAAAACTTTGTTGGTAGAATTCCAGAACCTAAATGACACTTAGCACTTTGTGACAAATTCTGTATAGACTGGACAGTTTCCAAGTCTCTGCCTTCAACAAAATTGAAGCAAGATCTAATTAAATTGTCAACTAATGGATCATTGAAAGTAATTTTCAATGATAGATCATTATATGGTTCTTCTAACTTAGTGTATTCAAAGAAATAACTGGCATTACTATAATGGAATTTCTTTCTCATCTAATTTATGCAAACTAGGTTTCTTTCTCAGAGCTTGTCTATTAATAAAAGAAAAATACAAAGAGAATATTGAATCCAGTTTGTTCTAGCAACTAATAATATTTCCCCACAGATTATTTTGAAAAAATTTAACCCCACACATTGACATATTTAAAATACATTTTATTTTTACAAATTGTGAGCTAAAATATTCCAATGATAAATACAATCAGGAAGAAATTTAACTTTTGTGGTCTCAGGAAATAATTTTGTAAAACTAAAGTGTTTACTTTTATTTTTGCAGTACTAGGCATTGAATCCAGCGCTTTGCATACATGCTAGGTGAGCTACCCATGCTGGATTTGGGGAGCGCTGGGGATGGGTTGAGACAGAGATTTGCTATACAGTTCAGGCTTCATGTGAGCTATGTAACCCAGGCTGGCCTTGGGTTTGCGGTGATCCTCCTGCCTCAGCCTCTCAGATGCTGAGATTATGGGCATGTGCCACCACACTGCCACTCTGCCAGCCTCGTCAAGATCCAGAGGAGTTGGTATTTGTAATCCCAGGGAAAAGTTATTAGAATTCCAATAAGTAACTCCAGTGTACCACAGTGTAACCCACAGTGAGAAAGAGACAAACACATATCTGTAGCTGTAGCTCAAGGGGGTCCTAAATCCAGTTAGAACAATGGCTAACCGGAACAATAGGCCTCAACCCAGGGTCCAACCGGGTTTTATTCATTTGTAAAAAGGGGAGTGGCTCGGGGTGAGTGGCTGAGAATGTCGGGGAGCACAGGGTGCTGTGAGCTCCGCAGCGTGCAGAGAGCAAGTTATGCAATCAAGTAGTCCGCATATGCAGTTTCAGGAAGTAGCTTGTGTTTTGGCTTTGATGTCTGACTTCATGCCCTGAGATGTCATGGATTCCTTCTCAAGCCTCAGTCACAGCCAGTGAGCTCGCTCAGAGCCATAGGTGGT